TGTTATACTCAAAACACCTTAAGTGTATAATTTCCATTGTATTTGAGTAAACCCAAATCTACAGAGTAAAAGCACCTTCACACAATTCCAGCTGCAGGAGGAGTCAATAGAGAGAAGGTGGAACAGAGTGGGTTTTATCCACGGATTTACCTTCTTTTTGTCCCAGCTGGTGTCTGTGTGCCCTGTGTCCCTCTGTGGTGGGAGACTGAGGGGACACCTCATTGCAGTCACAGCTTCCTGGGGAGGGGAAGAGGAAGGGCAGGCACTGATCTCTGCTCTGTGGGGACCAGGGACAGGACCCCAGGGAATGGCCTCAAGTTGTGTCAGGGCAGGGTTAGGTTGGATCTCAGGAAAAGGTTCTTCCCCCAGAGGGTGGTTGGGCACTGAACAGGCTCCCCAGGGCAGTGGTCACAGCACCAAGGCTGCCAGAGCTCAGGGAGTGTTTGGATAATCCTCTGGGGTACCTGGTGTGACTCTTGGTCCTGTGCAGGGCTGAGGGTTGGGCTGGGTGATCCATGTGGCTCCCTTCCAACTCAACAGATTCTGTGACTGTGATGCTGTGAAGTTCTTGCAGGGTACCCCTCAGAAGGTCCCTAAAGTCAGCGAGCAGAGAGCCCTAAACCGGTGATCGGCTCCGTGGGGTGCAGCAGGTCACCTTGTTCTGCCCTTTCCCTTGAGCCATGAAAAATTGCCTGCACTGGAAGGCTTTTATTGATGTCATCAGGAAAATAAAAACAATCATGCAAAACTTGATGACTCTCAACTGCCTTTATTCTTCCACATCCAAACCCTGCTGGATGATTGCTTCTGAAAAACTGAGTGTTACATGTGTCTGAGTAAATGCCAGTGATCATTAATTCTTCATCACAATTGCATTTTCCTACTCAGTGAGTTCTTTTATGAACCAGTAATCTTTGCTTTCCCTATTGAAATACATGGGGAGATTATATTCACTAGTTATTTTCAGTATTTATGCTTTGTTGCCATATTTTACACCTTTTCCATGTTTGTCCCATTTCAGTCCCATTAAAGCTCATGAGCTCCATGTTGATGTTCCCTCCTGGTGTTGGGTTGTAAAACAAATTTTTCCCGTATTTGTGGTATTTCCTAATTCATCATCATCTCCCTGCCTGCCTGGAACAGGTCTCTGATCAAAAGATCACACTGTGGCCCTGCAGTTTTTTGGTTTTTCCCTTCCCAAGCCACCTCTCCAACAGAAGTCATGGAGTCCTTGTTGACGGTGTGGTAGAGCAATTCTCCTGGATAGCCTGTCCCTGAAGATCTTCCACATCTTGTAATCTGAACTTCTGAAGAAGAAGAAATCAACCATCCTTGTGCCTAGCAGTACACACAGATATTTCTGCTCTGTCATTCCAAGGTGCTCTTTGCCATCTCCGACCACTCCCATCCCACTTCCTCAATTAAGATGCAGATAGTTACTGAGTCAGGACATTTTTCATCTCAGATTCCTCCTTGCCTTTTCTAACGCGTCCCCATTTATCTCTCTGGCTTTTTCTTTAGAAATAACCCTGGGTGTGATGCATGTTCACACTGCCTTCAGGCCATGTTTCAGCAGAAAGAGGAATCAAAAGGACTGTGAAATAAGGAACCTGTGCTGAGAGGAGAATTCTTTAACTCTTGTTTTTTTGGCTTAGATGTTTCAGTCAACTTTTAATCATCAGATATTCCTTAACACTGTTTCAGCTTGGCTTATCCCTGTTAATTATTCAGCACCTTAAATTAGATCTTCTTCCTGGTCTCTGGCAAAGAAAATGGGAAAACGGGGATAAAACTGCATTTTCAGTCTCCCTTTATGTTTGTTCATTCCATGCAAAATGAGCCCGTAAGAGCATAAAGCATGTGTGGAATTCCTTAGAAATATTAATTATATATTGTATATCCTGATGAAACATCAATTATTTTTAGTATGGGCACCTTGGGCTGCTTTTTCTCGGTCTTCAGGATGGTGGGGACACAGATACCAAGTCCTGTAAAATGACCCAAGTCATTTTATGTTGATTTATTTATATTGATGGTGGAGTCCCCATCCCTGGAAGGGTTCAAAACATGGATGGATGTGGCACTTGAGGACATGGTTAGGGATGAACATGGTGGTGGGGCTGCTTGATGGTTAGACTTGATGATCTTAAAGGTCTTTCCCAGCCTTAACTATTTCATGATTTTGTTATTTTAGATATTTTCTCTCTTGGGTGTTTTAGTCCATGCTCTTGTATCCTCAAAATCAGCTTTTAAATTCACTCTGTTATTTTGAAGGCTGGATAATAGATTCAATGCTTCATGACAGATTAATTTGTACCCTTGGTCCTTAGCTTTATACCATACTTGCTTTAAATTCTATGAATTATATAAATAATCTTGAGATTCACTGAAAACTGAGGGTTTTTTTAATCTGTTGCATGATGTATAAACAGCTCTTTGTGGTTGGATCATGTGATGCTTTAGCCTTAGCTAAGATTTAACTCCTCTGCAACAGGTAAATTATTAATTTTACAAAGTATTTCCAAACCAATTCATTTATGAATTTAAAGTTATATTGCAAGGTTTAAAATACTAAAACTAAGAGGCTCCTCTATTCCAGCAACTTGGGAATAAAGGTTTTTGTGGACAATAGAAATATGAGAAAAAATTATTTGAGATGAGCACAGCAGTTAATCCAGCACTGGCAATGGATTTGCCACATTTACTTTTTATTTCTTCAGAAAATAATGTCATAAACTCAGATAGAAAAGGAATTCTGTGAGTTGCCGCCCAGGGAAATAATCTGTTTGAGCCTTAGAACCTCCTCAGTCCCAGCTCTGTAGCAGAAGCTCCTGCTTGATGTTGCCTCTTCCATTGTATAAATGACATTTTTTGCTGTGTAAATCCAATCATGTCTCTGACTCTTAAAGTTTTACCTATTAGAAGTCCTGTGGTTATTTTTGAATACTTTTCTTCACACGTGGGAATAACTTGGATGTGATCAGAAGTTTGTAGTTTAAGGTTTCACACAATCACCATCTTCTGCCTGTGAGGAGTGACCAAGATTTTGAGGAGAATCCAATGATTCCATTAAAATAAGTTCTTTGTTTTGCCAGGAAGTCTAAACTGAGGCATTTTCCTGGATATTTAAAGTGTTTAAAATGTGTAAATAAGTATTTTCTAAATGAGGCAGCAAAACCAAACATGCAAGAAAGTTAAATTTGGCAATTTAGGTGATTAGCAGGAATTGTAATTAATATCTCTGAATTGTATCATGGGAGTTATAATTTATGGTTTAGAACTGTTGTGAGCAATTGTTAATTTTTCACTAAGTATACTTAGTTTCTGTGCTGGTTTTCCATGCCTTTGTGGTTTTTTAACACATTCCAGTATTGTGTTTAAAAATAATTTAAATATTCACCTTATTCTGAACCTAATGAGACTTCCATCCTAAGAGCCAGAAATAAGATCTTCTCTATATGAGTCCTGAGTGGAGCTACTTATGAATGGAAAAATAGCTACAAATGGGATACGAGTAAAGATTTATGGGAAATCTTTGGTCAGTTTTATCAGCACATTAATTCCATTCCATTACATCATTTAAATCATGAATATTTAACTGAGCATTATTCATAATTGCTCCTTTCCTTATCCACCTTTATAAAATGACCCCACATAAAAAAATATAATGAAGCTTTCCCCAAGAAAAAAAAAAAGTAATTACATGGAAGACCTAAAAATAGCAGCAGCTGACAGAAAATCTCAGCTAATAGTCCATTGGAGACCTTGGCAGTGCTTCATCTTTTGATGGAACCCCAACTAAGGGACATTAATCTGCCTCCACATCAATGTTAGTTTATGCATTGATCAAATAGGTTGGAAAATACATTGGAAAAGAGTGGGAGAGGAAAAGAAAAATTAAACCAGCAGTGAATTGAATGTGGTACGGGAGAAGTATCAGCATTAAGCAGCAAATTTATCAGGAATTAATGTGTGACAGGGTGGGTGTTGGGGCAGAAAGATGAAACGGTGCTGAAATAAAACTGGGCCTGTTTCTGGATGTTTCCAAGCTACCCAGTGATCAGCAAAAATTCCATATTTGTTGTGTTTCCAAGACTTGCTTCCCTCTCCTGCAGACTGGCCTTTCCAGTTCTGTGGAGTTTATTTCCCCGTTTTAACATACTGGAAATGAAGCTTCCTTGCCATAGATATGCAGCAGAGCTCCTGTGCAGCCCCAGCACAGCCTCATTTTGCCATCATTTAAATGCTAAAACCAGGCTCTGGTTTCCAGTCCCGGCATCTTTGATCATCATTTTTACCTCTGGTGCAAATTGCAGAGATGAAATGGTTGATATTTTCGAGCACAGCAATTAAGACTATGCTAATTTTTTGATTAGGATCTGATTACCTTAGAAGGCCCCTGAACTGCCTGTTGCAGTTAATGCTAAATGACTTAATTAATTATTTTTATCCTCTTTTTTTATCAAACCCAGTGTGATGTTTAGACCACTTTGGTCCACTAGGGCTTAAAAGAGAAATTCTGCTCTAGTGGTAAAACCCCTTCCCAGTTTTGTCCATGGAAACAAAGGCAGTGATTGATTTATTTGCTTTGAACTCTATTAAATTTGAACCTCAGAGCAGTTGAGGGCCTAGCTCAGGCCATGAAGAGCCAAACCACTCTTGGGTTATAAAGAACTTGATCACTGATGTATAAATCTACCTCAAAAAGCCACTTTTTATATTGTATTTCATTTAAATCACTTATAAATTTAACATGGGTCATTTTCCTTGAAAAACTATACAAAATTCTACCAAGATTCTATTTATTTTTGCACTGAAATAGCTGTTGCTTTTTAGTTCAATGATGGAAATATTATTCAAATTTGCATCATCAGCATCACACTGGTGTAATTCTTTTTACCAGAACAGTATCATTGCAGCTTTATTTTTATCCAAGCAAGATTTGACTGACCTTTTGCAAGTTAAAATTTTTATTTTAGGTGTTTCCTAATCTCTTACAGGTCAATGCACAAACTGACTCAGCTGGAGAGACTTGATCTGGGCAATAATGAATTCTCTGAGCTGGTAAGAAACACAGCATTTTTGAACAGAAAACCTGTGGGGTTTGGATGCTCTGTGGTTGGGGCATTGAACTTTCACGGGAAAGGCTTTGCTGGATTGTGGCCGTGGACAAGAGACACGTTTCCTTGAGGAACAGAAGGTTCCTGAGGTGAATGTTGATGTCAGAATATGCTTCATCTCCATCAGGCTTCTGCAGTTCAGGTCAAGGTCACAGAGGATTCTCCCTCGGAGCAGATCGTTACTCCTGGGAAACTTCACTGGGGCATGAATTGAAGATCTCTACACAAATTATTGCATCAATTATGTATTAATTTCTTAATATCTATCATTATATCTTATTGATATCTTATATCAAACAATAGCTGTTACCAATTATTAGAAATTGCTATTAGCAATTTTTAGAGAAGCTGTGGCTGCCCCATCCCTGGAAATGTCCAAGGCCAGGTTGGACAGGGCTTGGAGCAGCCTGGTGGAAGGTGTTCCTGCCCATGGCAGGGGGTGGGACAGGATGATCATTAAGGTCCCTCCCTGCCCAAACCACTCTGTAGTTCTGTGATCTCACCCTGGCAGGAATGCCATAGGAAAAGTCGTACTAATTTAAATCAAACCTGTGAACAAAAGGATAAAATGGTGTTTTCATGGATCCTAAAAATCTGATTTGGGTTTCAATAGAAACTTCAATTTTTTGGAGAGAAAAATGTTCCCTGGAGCTGTGGTGGTGTGAGAGAGATTAGTTTCTTTGGCATCTTGGGACTGTTTTGCCCTGGAAGAATCTGCGCAGCCCAACTGGAGACACAGGCACAGGGTTAACCTCAAAAACTGAAGTAATTCTGTTCATTCATTTTGCTGAAAACAAGATGACACAAATCATGGGGTTCCTGCAATGGAAACTGTCACTTCCTAAAGAGCAGCTGTATCCAGGTGACTTCGTGTAATCAAGGGAGGGAAGAGGGAACTCATGTCCTGGGGCTCTGGGAGCTGTAAATCCCAAGGAATTGGACATGGGTTTGACATCTCGGGGGGTTTTGACCCTTTTTCTGACATTTGAAGGGTCAAAAACTGGCACCAGGCAGATGATGAGCAGCAATGACAGATGGAAAGGAAACAGGGAAAGGTAGGGAGAAAAGAAAAATGTAAGATGGAAAAATGTAATATATTTTTAATTGAAGATTAATGTCAGTCTTTAATTCAGACTTGATCCTGGGAAGCATTTCTCTACCAAGAGGGTGATCAGAGCCTGTAACAGGATTCCTGGAGAGGGATTAAGGGGCATTTGGAGGATTTCCTTATTAGAGTTTTGGTCAAACTGAATTGGTCAGGACTGGATGGTCGTTGCAGCTGATTTTATTAAGGCCCTTCCATTCCATTCCTATTCCCACTCTCCTCTACTCTATTCCAATTGTGGCAATCTATATTGAAAATGAAAATATTCTGCAAAAAGACATCAACTGAAGCATTTCTAACAGAGACAAATAAGTTTTTAATATCCAAACATCAGTGAGATCTCATCTGGGTCCTGATGAACCATAAAGTGCCATAATCCAGGGCATACCATAAATTCCATAATAATGGTAAATTATAATCCATGCTCGAGGAATTTCACCTCAAACTGTGCTGTGTCCAGCACAGGAATAGGTTGTTCCCTCTGAGAAAGGTGTCTGTTAATGAGAGGAATTTAAAAGCAAATTTAAGTTGAGAGGAGAAATTATGATTATCCATAATGACCTGAGTTAGTGAACACTCCAGAGGAATAAAGAAACATTAATCAGCACAGGAACAAATAGTATAAAATAACCATTAATCAGTTTAGCCTGGAAATGAGAAATGAGTTTAATCATAGAAGGACAACAGAATTTCAATAGAATTAGCAGAGGCAAAATAAATAATCTTTAAGGTGTTAACTAATAGTTTTTTAATGGAAACACATCATGTGGCAACATAGAAAACCGAGGGATTGAGCTCTGCTGCTGAGCAGGTTTATTGTTACCTGATGAGGCATCAGGCACTTCTCCTGCCTGGAAAAGTGAAAAATCACATTTCTTATGGGAATGACAACACTCCAAAACACTCAGACCACGTGGGATAATTAGAGGTCTCTCTTAAGGTCTGGTGTGCTGGGCAGAGGTATTTGTTCTGGCTGTGTTGGGTTAATTCCAGGGCAGTTGTACCACAGGCCTTTAGAATGCTTGAACCTGGTTTAGTCAGGACAAAATGGAATGTTTATTACCAGTTTCTGGTCTTAAAAAAATCTCTACACCTTGACAAGGGAAAGCAAGTTGGAAGTCCTGGTTTGCTGTGGAGAGTTTTTCATTGAGAAGGAAGACATTGCTTAGGCTGAAAACTGGGAGTGTTTGGGAATTGGTAATTCCTGATTTTCCTAGCTCTAAGAAATCAGAAATGATCTTGGGAATTGCCTGTTTCAGCTTCTCTCACTTGATCTTGTAGTTTTGAAAAGAGTAAACCAGATTAAATTTAATATTGCGATTTTAAGGCACACCATGACTGTAACTCCTGAGTCTGACAGCTACAGACATCAACTCTCCTAGCAAGTTCCCCTTTGGATTCAGTTCTTTTCCAAAGCATTCTTATATTTTACAAGTTTTGCAAAAGAGCACCAGTGATTAAATTAAATGGAGTGAGCTGTTCCTGTCATTAGATATCTGAAAGGCTGATGTGGGCTATAAAAAACAAAGGAAGGTGAAGAGGGAATCTTTTTTTTTACACCAAATATTGATTTATTTTTAACTAAAAGCCACTGCTATATGTAACTGTCCATAATTATATATTTTTCCCTCAGCCTGAGGTTCTTGAACAAATTCAGAATCTAAAGGAACTGTGGATGGACAATAATTCTTTGCAAGTGCTACCTGGGGTATGGACATTTATTCTTTGTAATTGAATTATTGTGTTATGTAGTGACTTATTTACCTGGCAGTAAATGTGCATTTTCTTGCATGGGGGCACAGTCCTCCTTCACAGAGTCATTAATTATAATCCAGAAATAAAAGTTACCTGATAATGTCTAAATATTGAACACAGAAAATTTTCATCTCTTTGGTGGGGCTGCAAATGAGATGGGAATTTTGAGTGAATATCCTTCGGTGCCCAAATGGAGAAATAATACAACTGTATCACCAGGAACTCAGTTTTTCAGCAGATTTAATGAATCTGGAGCACAATAATTAGAAATAAAAGTTATGTGATTATGTCTAAATGTTCAACATGGAAAAGCTTGACTTCCTTGGTGGGGCTTCCATCAGATGGGAATTTTGAGTGAATATCCCTTGGATCGGTATCCAGATGGAGAAATAATACAACTGTATGATCAGGAACTCAAATATGCATCATATTTAATGAATCTGGAGCACCTTAATTAGTTTGGGGTATTTAGTTTGGTGTAGCTCCTGAAGGGGAGGCTGAGACCACCTTGGTCTGGCTTTGTAAAGGTGCTGAGCTAATTAAATAGAACCTGCATCACTCTCGCTTGTCTCTAATTAAATTAGCAACTGGTGTGTGTCTGCCCAAGTAACTCTTTCTCACGTGCTATTAAGTCTATAGGGAAGTTAAAACAGCTCGTGTACCTGGATGTGTCCAAAAACAGGATAGAAACGGTGGATTTGGACATCTCGGGATGTGAAGGGCTTGAGGATCTCCTGTTGTCATCCAACATGTTGCAGCAGCTGCCAGATTCCATCGGTGAGAAAAGCTTGGGGATTCTTGGAACCTTTTCCAGCTGAAAATTTGATTTATATGTTGGTTTTTGGTGGTTTTTTTTTTTTTTTTGTAATTATAAGACTTCATAATCATGGCCCAAGAACTGACATTAAATCCTAAAGGAGGCACAAGCATCTGTGTGGGGACAGTCCCTAAAGACCATTTGGTAAAAGTCAGGAACAAAAATCCCTGGCTAGAAAGTATTGATTATTCTGGTTTGCTATTTTAAGGAAAATAAGCGCAGAAGGCTGTAAGTGATCTGAATTTGAAAGTAAGTATGAGAGTGATAGGGGGAAATTGCTGCTCTGAGTTACAGCAGTAAAAAGGAAATAAAAAAGAAATAGTTCAAACTACTAATTTTCTTTTTTTGACTATTTTTCATGCATAGAACCTCAGATTTTTTTAGGATATATATAGAAATTCTGGAAGCCGAGTGCTTGTAGGCACATCTGGATCTTTCATTTCAGTCTTGAGCCCTCATATTTTCTTTTCAACTTCCCTTTGAACTGTTGAACAGTTCAATCAGCATTTGATTAAGTAATAAAGAAAAATCATAAATAAAGAAAATTATCTATTAATACATTAATAGATAATTAGAAATCTACTCTTACTGCATAGATAAGACACTATTATTTTTATTGCTTTTTATTTTTATAAAGATATTATTCTTTTATTAATATTTATATTATTATCTATTTTTACATTATTTTTCAGGACCACAGAAATACACTTAATATTTCTCTTGCAGTTCAGTCAACATTTAATCAGGACTTTATTTTGATTAAAAGAACATATCCTATACACGGATATTCTCTAAAATCCAGACCTGAGTTACTCAGTGTTAGAAATCCTTGGATTTTTAGCACACGGGATATTGTAGAAAATATTAATGTCAAATATTTTTCTAATATTTCTTCCCCATCTGCTCTCTAGGGCTGTTGAAGAGACTGACAACTCTGAAAGTAGATGACAACCAGCTCACAATTCTGCCCAATGCCATTGGAAAGTGCGTATGAGATTATTGTGATTTTCAACATTAAGTAAAATGTGTTTTCCCTTCTGCTTTTTTCCTTCTGTTTTATTTTTTTTTAATATAAAATAAGACAAAGATATCCTTAATTATAAAATAATTCAAATTTTATAAATAAATTATCAAATAATTTTAAAATGCTGCCTAACACCCAGTTTAAAACATTGAATTTGGAGTACCACTATTACCTCTGTGAGTTTATACTAGTGGGAGAGATAAAAAGGCAAAATATATCGAATTTTCCAAGAAAAAAGCTACTTTTCTGTGTGAATCGTTCACAATTTAGATGATTAGAGCAGCAAAAGTAGAAGAAATAGGAGTATTTGGGGGAAATATGTCTGTTCCCATGGCAATGGCCTGAGCCTGGTGTGGGAAGTAGATGCTGCAACCCTTGTTCATGTGGAGATTTCTTAAAATATTCCAGTGGTCCCAATGGAACAGCCATGAAAATTTCATGGGGATGGGGCAGGATCCAAGTATTTCCTGGGAACAGGGCAGGATCCCATCATTAATTGATTATGAGAAGCACTAATGGTTCCCTTTAGCTCTCGTGGGGTCAGGTAGGGCACGATCTCTGGCTTATCCTGCTGAGGCTCTGGAGCTCTTTGCCCACCAAAATCTGCCATTTATTGTCAAATTTGGGGGGATGCCTGTGTTCCTAAGGATGGAATTGGGGAATCCTTTGTATAGGTTCCCACTGCATATTCCTTCCAGCAGAACATATCTTTAGCATTGGTGTTTTTGTTGGGTGCCTCCTCTACATATTTTACTTCTGAAATTCTATATAAACTGGCATTTGGAAAAAAAATCAGAGTTCCTTCTCCATGGCTGCCTTCTGCAGATGTGGCACCAGAGTTTCCATCCTCCCCAGGGCACCAGTGTTGATGCAGCAGAGACAGAGCTGTGCTGAGGGAGGTTCAGGTTGGACATCAGGAGGCCAACTGTGCTGCACACATTCTATAGGAACCAGTTCATAGAATCCCAGGCTGGTTTGGGTTGGAGGGACCTTAAAGCTCAACCAGTTCCACCCCCTGCCGTGGGCAGGGACACCTTCCACTAGACCAAGTTTCTCGAAGCCCCATCCAACCTGGCTATTTCAGTAATAACTGTTGTGCCATTTGGGAAAAATAATCGAAATTTGTGAACTGTTTCAGTTGCAGCCACTGACAGCCCAGGTTGGCTCACTCTTCTGTAGTTTTTGTAATGTCTCCAGATTTATGGGATAATGAAGAGCATTAAAAATTGGTGATGTGAATCACTAAAGGACAAATCTTTGCTGCTCAAATCATTGTGTGGCAGTAAATTCTGATGAGCAGTGAAAGCTCATAAGGCTCAAAGCTCTACTGGATGCTGCAAAAAGGTAGATCTAATGTTCAGCGTTAACAGTTTTGGGGGTCATTTTCTGAAACCTTCTAAAACTTTTCTTTTTTGCTGAATTGCTCAAATTGAAGGAAACTCCGTTTTTTAACTTAATGTCTGTTGAGTATTGTTTGTCTTGGAGCCTTAATTATTTTTTTAAAGACGCAACTGCTGCTCTGAGGTGGGAATGCAGAGCAGAGGCTGATCATCGGATATTATATGTTATTTTAGAGTGACTGGTTGTGCTTTTTCAGTGAAGTGCTACCTCTCTAACGAGGACGGTGTCTCCCACATCAAAATGAACTTGGCTTTCTCTGACTCATCCCTTTGGATAGTTTTCTACTGAGTCTCTTTCTCCTAAATACTGGTGGCAGTACCTACTACAGAGCCTGTTACTATCACACAGGGATTAACAATGTGGAGGAAGGAATGATCCCTCAAGGGACCAATTTCTCCATGAGACACAGAGCATTTCAACTTCGGTGCCGGTGGGGAACCACCACCCTCATTTTTGGAACTCTTATTCAAAGGACAAGCCTGTGGTGGCATTCAGAGTATGGCCCTGCACAGTAGATCCATCTTAACAAAACAATCCACACAAAATCAGTGATTCCCACTGATTAAATTACTAAATTAGAGCAAAAGGCTGGAGATGATCTCTGCAGGACCTGAGGGAATGACCTGTGTGGGTGGGAAGGTGCCAGGAGGGAAGTCACACGGGGAAGGTGCAATGTGTTCTGTTAGAGGAGTGTTTTGTGTCCAGTCTGTGCCACATCTGTCTGTACCAGATGCTGCAAATGACAAATTAAAACTTGTATTCCCAGCATTTACAAGGGAATGGAGTGGTAGAACATGGCAGAATTGCTTCCCACTGCCAGAGGGCAGGGTTAGATGGGATAATGGGGAGAAATTCTTCACTGTGAGGGTGGTGAGGCCCTGGCACAGGTTGCCCAGAGAAGCTGTGGCTGCCCCATCCCTGAAAGTGTCCAAGGCCAGGTTGGATGGGGTTTGGAGCAACCTGGTCTATAGAGGAAATCACCTCTAAAATTTCCTCCCAGGGCTGTGTCTGTAGTTGTGTGAAGCTTTAGAACTTCCAGAGGTTGTGGGTTGTTAACTGTGGTTCTCCACCCCTTGCCCAGCCACTAACGAGTGTATTTACAATTCCAGTTTATCTTTGTTAGAAGAATTTGACTGCAGCTGCAATGAGTTGGAGTCTCTGCCCTCCACCATCGGGTACCTCCACAACCTGAGGACCTTGGCTGTGGATGAGAATTTCCTCCCGGAGCTGCCCAGAGAAGTGAGAGGCTTCGGAATTACAGACTGAAATGTTTTGTGGGAGCGCAAGATTTCATCCTAGCCCAGATAAATTATCTGTTAAAGCAATTGTTTGTGGGATGAAGTGGGAGGCCAAACCTTTCTTATGTACTCAGTAGTGAAACTCAGCAGTAAATTAATAAGTTCCTGTTAAATTTGGAATATCCATGTGAAGAGTAGAGTGAGTAACCCCAGGAACCGTGAGGGTGTTACTTTCTGATTAAGTTATGTATTTTCTGCTCTTTGTCACTTCCAGCAAAAACCCAATTCAGCCACCTCCTGCCATGAAAAGTGAGTGATAATAAATGTTACCAGAGGCAGGATTCCATCACCTTTGGCTTTTTCATTCCCCAGATTGGAAGCTGTAAAAATGTTACAGTGATGTCTCTGCGCTCCAACAAGCTGGAATTTCTTCCCGATGAAATTGGGCAGATGCAGAAGCTGAGAGTGTTAAACCTGAGTGATAACAGGTATGGTTCACATAATTTCCTTAACCAATTAAAGCATTTGTTAAAAAAAAAAATTCTAATTTTCAAGTATTTTTAAAAAATACATTTATATAAAATATATTTTATTTAAAAATCTATTTAGAATTATATTAAAAATAACATGATTATTATTTACTTTATTTAAAATATAAGGAAATAATCTTGATTTTTTTTTTTATTTTAATCTTTATGTTTTGGTCTTAGTTCTACTGATACCAAAGAAGAAGTTGAGTGGGGCCAAGATCTGGGTCTTAGTGTGTTTTAATAGGTTAAAATCCATTTGCTTCTTTTATGCCCTGCTGTTTCCATGCAAAAATGTGATATTTGGCTTGTATAGGTTTGTAATATTTAATGATGAAAAAGCTGATCTATAGGGAACATGAAGTGCAAGCACGGGAGTTCGTTATCCTGCCTTCACTGAAATCCAAGGAACATTTTTCATTTCCTTCAGTAGAGATTTTTGTCAAAAAACACAGATTCTTGTGTTCTTATGCACATGACTGTGCTTAGATGAGAAACAAAATGCTTAAACTGAGCCTTTCTTGATACCTGTGCTGCCAAAGACTGAATTTCCTTGAGCTTTATCCATGTGGGTGTGCCAAGAATATGGTAATTTTCAGGTTTGCTGGATAGTGCCATCTCTGGGGGGTGAATTCCATTTTCTCTCCAATAATTACCCTCCACACTCAGTAAAAATTAGGAGAAGGACTTCCCACCCCTCTGTCTGATTTGCTGTCAGCAGTTTCATTGTTGAGATTATAGCTGAACATAAAATATAAACCATAAAATGAAGCACTGTAGAACCCCTTTAATATGTTTGTTTAAAACTGCTTGTTTAATTCAGTTTGATTCTTTTCTGCATTGCAATTGTATGTCATAAAATCCATCATGGCTGGACCAGAATGGGAAGTTAAACTTGAGCCTAGTTTGTGTTGCGACTCTCCAAATCCCAGAATCAGGAAATGCCTTCAGGTGGCACCAGGGGAGGTTTAGGTTGGATATTAGGGAAAATTCCTTGTGGAGGAGGTTGTCCGGCCCTGGCAGTGGTGGAGTCCCCATCCGTGGAGGAATTTAAAAGCTGTGTGGATGTGGCACTTGGGGACATGAGTTAGTGGTGGCCTTGACAGTGCTGGGCAATGGTTGGACTTGATGGTCTCAGAGGGCTTTTCCAACTTCAACAATTCCATGAATATATAACTCTGTGATCAAATGGTGGGTCTCTTGATTTTGGGTTCCAGACTCCAGTGCTTTCCTGGGAACAGGGGTGCTCCTCCATCAGTATATTGGTGGCAGCAATGTGTGTTTGTGCCTTTAACTGTACAGGCAGAGTCTGAAACAACACTTCCAAACCACTCCAGCTGCCATTCCTGCCACAAAGGCAGGCTGGCTTCCCTTCCTGTCCCTGCATCCATGTGCCCTGTCCTGTCCTGCTGTGGTTTTGTCCAGATATCTGTGATTCTGGATCCATAAGTGATACAGGTGAATGCAGCCCATCTCAAATACAGGGAATTTTCAGATGGACCTTTCCATGTCTGGTTCCTGCCCAGCAGCTGTGGTGGCACCTGGGAGAGGGCATAGGTGGACACAGGAGTAGGGAGGCAAGAGGACAACCCTAGTCCAGGGCACTTGAGAATTCAGGGTACAGGTGCCTTCCATGGCACATGAAACCGTTCTGAGCTGGGTCACTGCCCCTTTTCCAACCTGTGACTGTGCCATGAGTCTGAGGTGAGGGAGCAGGAAACCAGTGGGGTTTATTTGGGTTTTGTTTCCTACTTTTTTTTCCCCAGTGACTTTTCAGCCAAGTCAGCTGCTGGTTTCAGTCCCACCACTTCAGTGTGGTGAGGGACTAAGAGTGCTGAGGTGAGATAGGGAAGGGCAGTTCATGGCTGGGAGGGGGTGGGAGCAGACAGGGCTTCCCAGCTAGGCTGACCCAGCAGCTGGATCCCACCGAACAGCTGTCCTGACCCAATTCCTTTTCCCCAGCTGCCCAGCTGGAAGAGTATTGGGATTTCCACTGGGAAGGAAGGTAATTATGGGACCAACATCCCAGTGATAAGATGTTCCTTGGGATGGGACATGGCAGCTGCTTCCTTCCCACTCCTCTGCAGGGGGGTGTGGTGGTGGTAAGCTGCTTTCTCCAGTCCTCCTGGAAAGCTGTGCAGTGAGCTGTGAGCGTTGTGTGACCACTGGGAGAACGGGGTCTGGACTGGGAGAGATGGGAACTAACCCCAGCCAGAGACCTTCAACCTTTAAACTCAGCTGAATTTTCTTTAAACCTGGTTGAATTGTCTCATGTACTTTTCTGGAGTGGTTTGGGCAGTAAATCTTTCCTCCTTCCTTCCTGTAAGCTCTGGCTGAGGTTCAGTGTTGCTCTGCTGAGATGTGATAATTCTTGTGCCGTGGAACTTTCCACTGCAATGAAACTTTTTTAAAAACTTTCCACATTTTGGCACCAAAGAGCTTGGACAAAGTTCAGACTCCTTCTTAATGCTGGAGTTTTTAGTGATATATTTTAACTTTCCTCTCGTCCCATTTTCATTAACATCTATGGAATGTCTTTTCTTTCTTTGAATGAGTCCACATGTACCTGCTTAAGAGAAGGGTGCCTAGGCTCTGCTTCCTTCTGGGAGCCTTCCCATGTTCCCACGGCAGTTTTGCCTCTCTGCTCTTCCCCAGATCTCACAGGAGGTAGAGCACACCAGCTCTTTTCCTGGGTACCCCTTCAAGCCATTGAAAGAAGAGACAATGACACACACAGGCAGAGCAGATGGGTGATTCTGGAGTCTCCTGAGCTTCATCCTGTTGTGATGGGCTCCTGGATCCTGGGATGTGCATTAGCCTCTTCCCTCTCAGCCTGTTATGGGGCCTTCTGAACCTGGGCCCCTCTAAGAGGGACCCCTCACCCAACCACTGCTGATGCACAAATCTTGTGAGGAGCAGCTGTCACTCCCTGTGGTTTATAACAAACAAGGATGGATTGTACATATTCCATCAGAATTTACTGGTCAGCCCTTTGTGACTTTCTCTCCTGACACCAGAGGTATTCCACGTCCATCCTGGCAGTGTCCCGTTGCTCGTGCATCCTGGCCCGTTGCTTCCTTGCTAAGGGAACAGACTGTCCCTGTGACTGTTAGTTCATATGATGGATCCATCACCACGGAGCTGGAGTTATACAGACGGAACAGCATCTTCCACTGGGGATCTGCCCACTGCAAGTTCATCCCAGGGAGTGATATGTCAGGCCATCTCCTTGTCCTTTGCCACATGCCAGGTTTCACCTTTGGTGCTTACAGTAGTGACTGTAAATGGGGCACTTATGTATGCATTAACCTCTGACATCATTGCCTTTATCCCATTGGCTCTGGTGGGAACTGGGCTTCTCACATGCTTATTGAGATGCCCTTTTGCCATGAAAAATGGTTCCTTCTGGCTACCATATTCCTCATGGCATGGAGGTGCAGTCTGCCTTGAGGGATGTAGATACAGGGATGTTGGTGGCTTTGCACTTCTCTTGCCAGAGCTCATGGAAGATCTGCAGTCTGCTCCTGGAATGGCCATGCACACATGGAGACATGGATAGAGGAGCTTTCTCTCCCTTGTGTTCCTGGAGCTTGTCTGGGTGTGATAGTCAGGAGCATTTTAGATCTGGTCTAAAATCCTGACTGGATGTCTTTGAGGAAGGAGTCAAACCTGACACAGTTCTTTTTGCCCCCCAGGCTAATGGGAACCTCACATTTCTGCAAGATGACACATTTTGCACACAGGAGGGTCAGTGTTTGGTTCTGTGGTTTCAGCTACTACAGAGTTTCACTCTGTTCTGTGTCTTCTCAGTGCTGTAAGATGGACCTTGCTCATCTTAGCTGACTAGAAGCTGTTTTAGTTTCAGGACTTCCGAGTTAGAATTCCCCTTTCACTAGGGCAATAGGCTCCAGCTTTCCTTTCCCATGTCAATGATATCCAAACTTCTCATCTCCATAGCTGGGAGTCCTCTCTCCTTTTATCTTTCCAGTCTCCCACAGGCTCTGGAAAGTGCAGGATTCAGTTGGCTCTGATAGGCCATGATGGGTTGGACCCTGATTGCTGAGGTGGAGTCTCAGGAGGGCTGGAGTGCAGCTGGACAGCTCAGATGGCTTCACACTCTGTGGTCAGTTGGGACAGGTTTGAGTCCAGACTCCTTGGGATCCATCTTTGCCTTTGCCAGGCACGCTCTAGTCCAGGAGACCTGAGAAGTTTGATGAAGTGGTTGTGCAGGTGCTGCTGGTGTGAAAGCTCCAGCAGTGCTGAGTCCCTGGGAGGCTCAGGGTACACGTGGGATTCATGCAGAGAAAAGAGCTGTGTGACTTACCAGTAACCGGTGTTCTCACCATGTGTAGTCCACATACACACCTGTCTTCCATCTGCTTCTCCTCTCTCCTCAGAGTCCTTCCAGGTCTGAGCCCTGTGATTGAGAGGTAGAATTGTTAGAATGTACATTTGGGCTACACTTCTCAAAGACATCGGTTACTGGTAAGTAACCTTTCTTTTAGTTCTAGATTGTTCTTGAAAGAGCTGAAAGAACCCTCCCCTTTCTGTGTGTGCACTGCTTCTGTCCTGGGCTCAGAACTCACCCACACAAGTTAGAAAAGCTCCTCAGACTAAACAGTCCATGTATTTTATGATAAGACAGGAATGAAAACTAAGGTTCAGGTAGGTCAGGCTCTCCTTACTTTCTCCTGTGGTGTTAATTCCAGGTTTAAACGTGTGCACACATGGAAATCTGCCCTAATCTCCAGAGGTATTTAAGTGGAGTTTTAACTGCGTGTGCAAACATTCATTTTTATAGATAACTGATTTCTAGTGTAATATATCCTTATGATAACAATTCAATGCTTTACAGACATGCTGCCGTCCCAAAAAGCCCCAGTGTGAATGGGAATGAGCTTGTGGCAAAGATACATCCAAATTATGTAAGGGAGACGCTTCCAAAGCTTTTCTGCGTGGAGACAATGGTACAAATGCTTGTGAGGGGCTCATCTCCCAGAAATACAAATTTTTTTGTGAAGGAGACTGTAGGAATGTTGCTGGTACAGAGGGACAGAGGGTTTTCTCACTTGATGCAGCACCTGTCAATGGCTTACCTGGTTTTACTGAGCTTGAAGCCAATATGTCTGTGAGAGCCTTTGTTTCCCCAGAGTAGGGTTGTCTGACTCTCAGAAAAGGGCTTTTCCTCTTTTTGCCAAATCACATTTAGGTTTTGTCTTTGTCAAAGGTCCTTTGGTCGATACATTCCTTCCCACTGTCCTCCAGCTCCTTAAACTCTGGACAAAAGCTGAGACAACATCAGTCCATGGCTGGATCAGGCCATGTGTTGGTTCAGAGCAGGTTTAGATGGGATATTGGGAAGAAATTCTTGGCTGTGAGAGGGGTGGGGCCCTAGCACAGGTTGCCCAGAGAAACTGTGGCTGCCCCATCCCTGGAGGTGTCCAAGGACAGGTTGGACGGGGCTTGGAGCAACTGGGCTAGTGGAAGGTGTCTCTGCCCATGGCAGGGGGTGGAACTGGCTCATCTTAAATTCCCTCCCGACCAAAACCAGTCTGGGACTCCATGATGACTGAGGAGTAAAAATTCATGTTCATAATGAGTTAGTGGGAAAAACATGAATGAATTCTCTGCAAACATCGTGTCATCATTTCCCATTCCCTCATGCAGATCACTTTTAGGAAATGTGTTTAAATGTCTAATTAAAATGCTAATTTTTTGCTGCTTCGTTTAATTTTGTCATTTAGGTTCACTATGAATATTTATATTATTTTAATCCTTTGTCTGACGTTTCAACAAAAATGAATTTTCCATGATCTCAGTGATTATGTTACAAAACTCCAATGTCCAATAAAAAGAGTTCTGGAAGGTACACTGAGGTCTTTCCTGTAAGTCTTCCTGGGATGAAGATTTTTCTGTTTTCTGTGTTATAAGTGTAATTTTGGTTACATTTTGCCAAGGCAAAATATCAGTAACTCCTCAGTACCTTAAGGTGTGATGCCAGCATTTTAGACTTCAATATCTCTCTTAACATGGAATGCCCTTAATAAAATATTGGTTTTTAGTAAAAAAATGAGAAAAACAGCTATGAAATTACAGCCATTTTAGTATGATCAAGACAAACATCTTGCAGACAAATCTTTAAACAAACTGTTGTGGAAATGAAGGATTCATGTTGTTCCAATATTATCATTTACAGACTGAAGAATTTACCCTTCACTTTTACTAAACTCAAAGAACTTGCAGCTTTGTGGCTTTCTGACAACCAGGTAATGCCTTTCAATATTCATATTTTCCTTATTTAAGGGGTCATTGGAAAGGCTGTAAATGAAACCTGTCATTTAATCCATGGTTGTATCAAAATTTTGGAAGTGTTTTCTCCCAGCCCAGCTTTATACTTCGATACTAAGGGGTAGATCCTGCTGGCTGTCCTTAAGAAACTTGGAAAAAGCAGCTTTGCAGGATTTATTTCACCTGGATAAGCTTCTCTGTCCTTACAAAAGTAGTAAATAAAGGGCAAAAGTAGCAAGAGAATAGTTTTTAAAAATAAGTTCAATATATAAGACTTTGCTACCAACCTTGTTAGTGGTTTGTCCCATCATTTGCTCCATCTACACCTCTATTTTTGTCTTCCTTTTCCCTTTTCCTGTCCATTCTTCCCTTCCTGCATATTTTAAATTTCATTGTACTCAGGGGCAGTCTAACAGTGTCAAAGATGCACAAGAACTCTGAGTCTTGGTTTGAAGAAAACTCATTTATGTTCCTCTTAAATCTGAGTGTGCCCTTCTTTGTCTGAGGGCTTTGGTTTTAACTAGAGACTCTTTGGGGTTCTATTTTAAAGCAAATTATGTAACACGAACACTAAGAAATGCAACAGTTCAACCAGCAGCTGAGCACTAAAATAAGTCTTAAATGTACATTTACTTTTATAGCTGAGCCAAAAATGGGAAAGCTGAAGGGAGGGGTAATAGAAAATTATGATTAAATTTTAATGTGTTAAATTGGGATTCTTGGGTTTTTTCACTCTAATTTCCATTTAAAAAATTAACGTTGCATGGCTGCGCAGCCCAGGCACAGAACAGCCAATTCCTTTTAAATATACGTGGTTTTCCAGCATTTTGACTTTGGTGTAGGATGAATTAGTTTCCATTCTGTGGACTATGACAGTCACTCCTGGTGTTACATTAGAATAAATCAATAATAAAATCGCATCAGTTGAAGTGAAACACAACATCTGAACACTCAGAGTGGCTCCATGTAAGTTCTCCAGTATGTTGCAGCAGGTTTACTCTCAGAGCAGGCAACTACTGTGAATCTACTCCTCCATCATTAGTTAACTCCTTGTTAGCTCTGGCTTAAACTAGATCACCATCTAGGAGGAGTGTTTTACATAAAATGTAAAAAAAAAAAACAAAACCATATATATATAAAATCATCTGAGGAGATTTAAATCATATTTTAAATTTAAAATTAACAGTACCCTCTATTTAACATTCCATTTAAATCTTCCTGGAAATTCTTGATTTTTCTCTTCAATATTTTTCCCACTGGGAATTTTTCTCTGGCTCCTGTAACTGGAGACACTGGGTTCTGCTGTGGTCTGACCTTTTTCCTTCCTCAGCCTGGAACACCTGCAGTATTCCAATGTTCTGCCCATCCTGGTGGGAACTGCAGGAATTGCAGAAGGGAGGAATGGGAGAGGAGGTATTGCCACCAGCTTAACACTTGTTTTAGTCCACAGGGAGTTTCTTTTCACACAGAATTGTAGATACCCTTGTATTCCCTATTTATCAGAAGCTGAATCCCATCTCAGCTCACACTCTTGAGGTAACTGCTCTGGTTTTTCTCTCCAGTCCAAGGCTCTCATCCCACTGCAGACGGAGGCACATCCTGAAACCAAGCAGCGAGTGCTCACCAACTACATGTTCCCCCAGCAGCCCCGCAGTGATGAAGGTAAAACAGCAGCAAGGCAGGAATGGGGTTTGTTTAAAGTCTGGAGGAAATCCAGAGGGATGAGGAGATCCAGAGAGAGGAGACAATCCAGAGGGAGGGTTCCAACGTGGCTCTGTGTGTGTCTCCTCACGCCAAGCCCATGGGACACACAGACATCGCTATTTTGGCACACACAAAGGAATCCTGTCATTCTCAGGCCATCAGATTTACATTTTCTAAAGCACTTTCGTTTCCAGAGTGGCTTTGTAAAAGCAGTTTGGATCTGGATATGAGTGTGCACGGGAAGGAATTGTGGCCTCTGCCTGTTGGCCAGAGACTGGCCCTATCTGGCAGCTGGGGATGTCCAGCACAGAGGGAGGCGAGTTCAGGGGTCCCAGCCTGGCTAAATTCAGGGTTTGACTCCTTACACAGCAGCATTAAATTAGTTTTCATACTCCCCCTGTGCTCCAGGTGTGCCCCAAAAACCTGTTGCTTCTCATCACCCTCACCGCAGTTTTTATAAGAACTCTGTCGTGGTTTCTCAGTTCCCGCTGTCATTGTCCCCTCGTGTTTTCAAACCATAACCCAAGATTGTGTGATCGACCAAGAGAAGCCTTTTTAGGCCTTTTCCCCCCTCTGGGTGCACCAACTGCTGGTTCCTGTGCTCTTTCCCCTTTCTCTGCAGATTTCCAGTCGGACAGTGACAGTTTTAACCCCACGCTGTGGGAGGAGCAGAGGCAGCAGCGCATGACTGTGGCCTTTGAGTTTGAAGACAAAAAGGAAGAGGAGGAAAACCCAGGGAAAGTTAAAGTACGTTCCATTTAGTTTATTCTGGTATTAACATATTATGAACAGGGTCCAGTATACAGGTCTTGAATTTAACTATTTTTGTATTCTAAATACCCATAAACCTATTCCTATTCAGGTTCCTGCTGTGACAGGGGTCTTGTCACAAACCAGAATTAACACAAAGTGTTGGGAGACTTTGAATTATTGTCCTAGTTCTGTAGAAGATTAGGAGACAGCAGAGCATGAGGAAGAGTTTGACACTAAAGTATATCCAGGGCTAGGTTGAACGGGGCTTGGAGCAGCCTGAGCTATGTCCCTGCCCATAGCAGAGCGTGGGATGAGATGGGATTTGTTTAGATGCCCACACAGGAGCTAAAAGCTCATTGCTGGAACCTTTTAAGAACTTCAGGTGAGTCCCTCCAGCCATGGGTTGCAATAGTTCGTGGGGAGGTTTCAACATGTACATTTTTATCAGTTTCACCAGACCTTTAAGGGAGAAATTTGCAGTTAATTTAAATTCTCAACAGGCAGTAACCACCAACACTGCAGCATTTATAGCAGCATAGATTATACACAGATTTCACTTTTTATCTTTCAGAGTTAAAACTGAACTCTCAGCCAAACATATGTTAAGATAGATTTCGTAATTGGAATTGTTCAATAACTTTTTCCATTGAGAATTTTGAACTTTGAGAATTCTCTCTTCGGGGTCAGGCTGCTTTTGATGTATCATTAAACCCACAGGAATAGTACTGTCAGGGAATACAGATTTCCTCTCTGATGATAACTCTGGATCAGTGAGGAAAACATCTGCATTCCAGTGCTCTCACCCTCCACAGCTGCCAGGAGTTCTGTTGTTTAATATTAATACTCATAGTGATGGCAAACTCTGATGAAATCCCTGTCTAGGATTTGTCTCTCTCATCCAAGTCTTCCATTTAATTTTCTCTGACTAGTTTTTACTGAGGATTTGCTGGCTTTTGGCTGTGTCTGTCTCAGAGCTTCCTCTTAAACCATGGTCTGAGTTCTAGGAGAAACCAACTGCCTAATTAGGCCAGCTCTAAATACGATTTCTTTCAATCGTAAATCACCCAGGGCTTTAGTGTTGCTTTCCAGCCTCAGTTTACCTTTTCTGTAGGAATTCTTTATTAACATATGACATCCCAGTCATACATTTGGACATTTTCTGTTCAAGTCGTGTCAGAACCTACTCCCTGTAATGTTTATTCCCTTGTGGTTCAGAACTCTATGCCAGAATTTCATAGATTTTTTTTCCAAACCTATCATTCTTTTGCCTCTGAAATATTCGTATTGACAGACCATTTAAATTGGAATCCTGAATTACATTTTTCCCACTGTAACACCGAGCTGTTAAAACATGCTCCTTTTCTTACCTCACTTCCACAATGAGGTAAAATCTGCTTTGTGGTAAATGATTCCAAATACTTTATCATGCAGTAAATGTGTTTCACAGTTATCCTGACACGCACAGATCTCTCTGGGAAACTTAGAAATTCAAAATGTGGGGTATTCTAGAAAATCTGTGGGTCTGTCAGTCAGTTAAAGCACCATTCAGGCCTTGTGGGGGACCTGTCTGTGGTGTTTTGAGTCTGTTCTCCTGTGTGAGAGAAGAGTAGGATGCACTTCAGTGCCAGTAGGAACATTATCCATCTCCAGGAGCAAATGGCTCCCAAGGGATCAGCTCCTGCTCTCAGCTGCCATCCATAATTCAGATTAATTGAGTACATAGAAAGTAGCTAAATTAATTCTGCATTTACACCAGCATTGTTTGGGAAAGTGGGATGGAATATGTCAGCACTCTCAAGCAAAGTGCAGGATTAACATACAAACACTCTCTCAGGGTAAAAGATTGTAGGGAGCCATTCCCATCCATTATTTTATGTCACTGGAATTCCATTATAGGTTAACATAGAGTAACTGAGCACATTTCAGTCCCAAACTCCGTGCAGATATCTCTGTGTAACACCTCAAGTGATCCCAAACGCGAGGGATGTGCCCTGAGCCCCAGTACTGTAACCATGGGTTAGTTTGCATGCTGTTTGCATTTTGTGTTTGTGCTTTAATTCTTTTTGTGAATGTTCAGGTTGAAATAAATCTAAAACGTTACCCCACTCCCTACCCGGAGGATTTAAAGAATATGGTCAAATCAGTCCAAAACCTGGTGGGCAAACCCAGCCATGGAGTGCGGCCCGAGAACTCTGTACCCGCTGCCAACAGTGACCAAGGGGTGAAAGACACGTATGAGCACAAATGGCCCATGGCACCCAAGGAGATCTCAGTGGAGGTAATGTAAAGGCTCCTTGTTCCTCTCCAGAGTCCCAGATTTGAACACAACTGCTCCAAATGATAATTCTGCATCTGCTGTGACCTCACACCTGAGAGTTTCTACTTTCACCTGTGAAGTTCATTCAGTTGTATACTGAGTTGCTGTTTTTCCCGATACTGCTGAATTTTTTAGTTGAAATCTACCTATATCTGAATTTTGCTGTTGATTTAGACAATTTTAATGGTATGAGACTTGCACAGGAGCAGGAGGAAGGACCAAGCTTGTTTCCATCTCAGCCTTCAGTACGTGCATTTCTACCTCTGATGCGTTAATGACCAACCAGTCGGTTTTGTCTGACCCTACTATGCCATGAAGTTCTTCTCCCTCAGTTCCTATTGCTAGGAGATACCCAGTTAACCTTGTCGAAAGTTAATGAAGGCAGCAGGAGAACTTCTCCCACTGCAGGGAGCTTTGAATCAAGTATCCCTGAATAGAGACTTGCAGTGAGCTGCAGAATCCAGCTCTGCAGTGGATCAGCAAAAACAGGGACAAAGTTCTATTCCAAGGCAAATATAGTCATTTAGGAAGCAAAATTCTTAAATCCTACTGTTCCAAATAGCAGGAACTTGATCTTATCTACCCATGGACACCCTGACTGTGTGCAGGCACCATTCAGAAATAGGGAATTCTCTTCCCCTGATGGTTTATAACCTTGGATAGGTCTACAGGAATACCAGCATTCCTGAAAATCTTTACAAAGCCTTAATGTTGAAAAGAAATAGATGAGGAAAAATATTCTCACATTCTTTTTTACTCTTTTGTTGTCTAAACCTTAGGAGAAACTCATTGTCCTTGAAATGTTATTGTCTCTGGCTTGTTGTATGTGCAGGAATTGTTCTTCCTAAATTTTCCATGTCTTTAACACAAATGGGCTGTTCTTACAATGCTCAGCTGTAGCTGCTCTGTCAGTGCTGTGTGTTTTATTTGCAATTAATCATTTTCATTTCTTACCACAATAACCAACAAAAGTTTTCCCTTTAACATGCTTCAGAAGACTTCCTTCAAATCTAGGCACAGTTTCAATTAGCACTAAAATATTTCAGTTAAATATTTCAGTTAAACTAAGATATTTAAGTTAAATCATTCATGTTTTCATCTAAATCTGAAATCATAAATTCCACCATTATTCTTTTTTGTTTATTAAGTTCTTACTGTGTAAATCTGAGCTTGAAACAACTTAGGCCAGGAGTCTTTACATGTTCTTCTCTTGTTGCTGAAGATATAGAATTTATTTTGTATTATCTATGTTTTGAACTTGAATATTCCTCACAACTTTCTGTGGGTTTTAATTATCACTAAGAATTGTCCATCAGGAATTTGATCCATAGGGCCTGACAGAGACTTTAGGTGGTTGGTCCCATGGCTGTGGTTGGTGATGCAGCCTCCAGAAGTCAGTCCTGGTTTGTTAACACTTGTTCAATTAAGTGTGAAGTTTTTAAATGAAAATCCCAGTGAGCTGAACCCCACAGGGTCCTGTGAGCAGGCAGAGCCCAGGGATCCTACATTAGGGAGGTATAAGCGGCAGTGACACCATAAATATGAGTTACTTTGGTTTTGTGTGGAGGTACAGGAGCTGTCAGTGGCACAAGTCTCACAAAAAGCATTCTGCAAAACCAGCTGAATTGCTGCAGACAGACCCTGTGGTATTCCTGAAGTGCAATTAAATAATGGGAGCGCAATTTCCTCCTTAATTGTCTCCCACAAGCAACTGCTGCGAGTGCACCACTGTTCCCTTGGATCACTGGAGAGGGTTTTTCATCTTCTGTTATTACAATAGTGAGTAGAGGGGGACTTTTTCATATTTTAATTTCCCTGGTACATAGTCAAGACTAGTAACCCAAATATTTCATCAGGTAAGGAAAGGAAAAGGAGTGTTCTTGTCCCTCCACCCAACACTGACACCGGGAAGGTTTTTTGGCTCCAAGCAGGGAGTTGTAAATACATTTTTCTCTCTTTGGCTTCCTGCAGGAGGATAAAGACATGGGGGAAACTGTAGAAAAAGTGTGAATGATTTTGTGAACAATATTGGCCTGATTTCAGTTGTAACACATTAAATAAAACATAATTAAGCTCCGTTTGCTTTTCAGATAATTAGGAGACACGATCTCGAGCCTCAAGTTAAAAGACAGTTTGAAATTGCAGGTGTGTTCTCATAGAGCTAAAGACTGAAGGCAGTTTCTAATACCAAGGTAATTTAATTTCAGGTGCAATGCTCACTTTTCATCCTCAGAGACCAGATAAGGTGGTTTCTGTTCTGATCTCATTTGGGTTTTCTTGCAATTAATTTACACGTCTCTTCACAAACTGTTTCTAAATAATTAAAGGGATCATCTGAAATGAGTAAGAAGCTGCATTTCAAATCCCCTGCACTGTCCTCCGCCTTCACTTACAATTAGCAAACAATGTCTTGATTAGTCAGCAATTATAACAAACCATTGTTCTAGGTCATTTTGAAACCTGTGAGTTTTGGGCAAATAGGAGGCTGGGTTAATTTTGTGTCACCTTTTCATGAGAAACGATAAAGAATCCCACAAATGAGCAATGCAGGTCTTTATAGTTCATATTAAGAATATTCTAAGAATATCCAACTTCTCAAGTGTCCCAGAGAAGCTGTGGCTGCTCCATCCCTGGAAGTGTCCAAGGCCAGGTTGGACAGGGCTTGGAGCAACCTGGGATAGTGGAAGGTGTCCCTGCCCATGGCAGGGGTGGAACTGGAAGGGCTTTAAGGTCTCTCCCAACCAAAACCATTCTAGGATTCTATGGAAGGGGAAATTGCATCTCTCTTGATTATAATTTAATGTTCTTGTATTCTCAGCCTGAATTCTCATTGATATTTCTCTTTCTCTGTTGTTTTAATGGTCTTTCCCATATGTTTTCTCTTCAGAAACAGCTTACTACAGTTTTCTGTCCTTTTCCTGTATCCTTCTCCAGTTAGTCCTGAGGAATAGGTTGACACAACACAATTTGATTTCTCTCTTCCCTTTCTTCTTGCAATTTCTTCTATTCACTATACTTTTTTTCCCTATTAGTGACCTTTTTGTTCTTGAGCTTGTAAGAAAAGGTCCTCTTAAAGAGAGTGGAATTAAATGGAATATGATTAGGGGTTTTTACCACATCTTTCACATTCATGGCATGTTCACAAATGCCAGACTGGTTCTTTCAAAAGTGCATCAATTTTTTTTGGAATAACTAGGTTAGGGGTTAAAAGAAAATGCTATAAGGTAGAAAACTTCCTAAAATCATGCATCTGAAATAAAACCCTGTGTTCATCATCGTGTCAAAAATGGAACTGCTGGTTCTTACAGCAAAGGGGGTTATAACTTATAACTCTTAAAAGGTTCATGGCATAATGTTGGGATTCCAGGTTCAAGATAAAGAAAATAAAGAATTCCCAAAGAATCCCCTGTCTGAGACAGAGAACACTCAGGAATCACCTCTGGAAACCTCAGACAGGGAGGAGAAAACCGAGGGCACCAAGAGTTCAGAGGTACAACCAGACCCCTGACAGGCATCATGGGTGTCACAAGGGGAGAATTTCACACTCTGCAGCACTGGGCACTCTTATTTCTCAAAAAAAGAACTGGTTTTGCACAAGTTTGTCACACTTACACTGGCAACTGGTGCTGCACGGGGGAAAGACTGTTGCACTGTTGTTGAGTTGTATGGATATCACTGTGTCACCTACAGAACACCACAGATATCCTGGGATCTCTGCATGGGGAAGGAAAGCCTTGGCTGTATCACACCATGTAACTATTCCCTTAAATGTTAGTCCTGAGGGGTTTAATTAAGTTGGGGATGCCTGATTTTTGCTGTTTTGGGAAGGTCCTGCCTCCAGTAGAACACCTACTACAGAAGGATTAAAATAACTGTTGTGTAAATATAATCATATTCTTCAAGGATAAATTGCATGGCAAAGGGTTCTACAAATCTCTGTTTCCACTGTTACCACAAAAAGCAGTGAATGGAGAGGAAACCTGTGAAAGTTTGCTCCTGATGAGTAAAAGCAAAAAAAATTTATATTGGAGCATTTTACATTTTAACAATGGCTCAAATCCTCATCTTCTCCCACACCTCCTTCCACACAAATATATTAACTCAGTGAGTGTGTTTGGTTTGGGTACTCCAATTTAAATAGTTTAATTATTACATCTCTCCTTATTAACTTCACTCTTCGAACTCGCTGGAGAACCTTTCCCAGCAACGTGTCAGGGCACAGAGACCCTCATGGTGTCCCATTAGTGTAAGCTCCCTCCTAAATACATTTCTCCTGTTTCTGTCCTCATTTATACTATTAATTATAGATTTTACCCTAATATCCCTCCAAAACTTCCTCTATTTTAGTACATACTCTCCTTGTCCAGCCTCCATCCTCCTTACAAAATGATAGCTCCTCCTCTCACAAGGATCCTGGTGGCATTGGCTCAGCTTTCCATCTCCACCAGTTCCCTTTCCATGATATTTTCCTGAGCTGGGCACCACCCATAAGGTGGGTTTCCCAGATTGCCCATCCTTCAGGCTCCCTTTCCTCTAGTCTCTTCTTGAGGGCAAGGTACCAGTGGCATCCCTGCAGTACATGTCACAGCCCTTCCTGTCTCCCCAGGACACCCACCCTCAGCTCTGAACATTCTCCCCAAAATTCCTCCTTCTGACTTCACTGCCTTCTAACTATCCCATGAGCCTAAATGTCCTAATGTAAAATACCTCCTTCTGAGACTACATCCCACTTCCCTTCAACATTTTTCAATTTTATTTTCTGTATATATCCTTTGAAGGTCAAGGTGTGCTGAACTCTCAGAAGTTTATTAAATCTGAATAACTTTAATTTAGCCACAAACCCTTTATAGACAAAACCATTTTAATTAAAAATAGCTACAGGGACAGCTGAATCTATGGAGGGACTTGTGCCATGAATAACTGAACAAGGAACGTTTCCTCCTGAAATAACAATTGTTTACTCCCAATTTGTGGTTTTTTCTGCTGGCAGGTTGTTTTTGTGACCTTGACTTCATCCAAAATGTTTACATGGCCTTGATGTATCTCACAAGTTCCATCTGTTTTGTCCACATTTCCAGAATGAGCACATCACCACTAATTTTTAGGAGTATTTCTGGAGGACTAATTAGAACTTTCAGCTGACAAATCAGTATGATTAGATGCTGCCTGTATGGTGGGGTTGGTGTGTTACGAGGAGAAGGCTGGGAAATGTTTGTGCCTTGCAGTTTGAAGTGGATTCTGTCTCCTGTGTTTACTCTTCATTATTATGTTCACCAGGATGCCTTGGGACATCAATGTGTTTATTCTTCGTTTTTTATATTCCTCAGGATGCCTATGGACATCCTGCCAGTGAGATGAGGATAGGGGAGCTCCGTCCTTCCATGCCTGAGACTCCGTTGTACCCCCCCAAACTCGTTCTGCTGGGTAAAGACAAGAAAGGTATTGACTTGGTTTACAACAACTTTTGTGTGATATGCAAGGAGAGACGTTCCTTGAGATGTTCTACCCTTCACTGTGATTTTAAAACAAATCTCTTGTATATTTGTGCACACACACACATATATATATATGTTCATAGTTCCAGTTTAAAAATGTGTTTTTCTGGAGTTTAAGTCTCAAATGCCACACTCTGAAAGCATTTGCTGTGTTTTGTTTCAGAGTCGACAGATGAGTCTGAAGCAGATAAGATCCATTGTCTGAATAACAGCGTTTCCTCAGGCACTTACTCAGACTATTCCCCTTCCCAGGCTTCCTCAGGGTCCTCCAATGCGCATGTTAAAATGGGCTCCTTGCAGACAACGGCTAAAGAAGCAGTGAATAACTCTCTGTGGGGGAACAGGTGTGACAATCTTTCTTAGCACCACTTCTGGTGGCATTTTGTCTTTTCATATGCACTCAAAGAGAAGTGTATCTTCCCCCAGAGGGTGGTTGGGCACTGAACAGGCTCCCCAGGGCAATGGTCACAGCACCAAGGCTACCAGAGCTCAAGGAGTGTTTGGATGATATTCTGGGGCACCTGGTGTGACTCTTGGGGATGGTCCTGTGCAGGGCTGAGGGGTGGATTTGATCCTGGTGGGTCCCTTCCAACTCAGCATATTCTGTGATTCTTTATTGATCTGTTTAGGCATTTTGTTTAAAAATTCCACATTTTTTCCCATTTGTGTGTAGCTGATCACAGCCCAGGCTGTGCAGAGCTGACCATACATCCATACTCCATCAACACCAGTAATTCCACAGCTGGTGGGTCAACTCTGGGCTATAACCAGGCATTAAAGCTCCTGGAATCAGGCTGCAGTGTGTGTCCCATTATTGTGTCCTGGCCTCCCTCTGCCCTGGATTCCAAGAACATGGAAAGTTCTTGGAAAGCTCTAATGAGCCATCAGCAGGCTGAGAACACCCTTGTACCACACCAGGAACACCCTGTCCTGTCTGTCCCTGCCATAAATCACCTCACGTGATTCCATCCACAGGCTCTGTCCTGTTAAAGAGAGGCTGGAGCCTTCTCAGTGAAGATGCATAAAATCTTGGTGCTGAGAACACACACAAACTGCATCTGGTATCTTTGTTTAAAAATAAAATAACGTAAGTGTGAAAAACCTTCTGTTGCACTCACAGATTATTTTTACAGCAGGTAAATATGTTCAGCTGGATTTCTGTGAACACAGCATGGAGCCAGCCAGGCCTGTCACTGACTTCTTAGTTTCTCCGTGTGTGTACTGACACAGTCTGTGCTCCAGGGCAAAAACCTGCTACCTTTGTGCCAAGCCAGTGGCATGAGGTTCATGTCTCATAGCACAATCTCAAAACCAAAGCATAGATGGGAGAGTGCTAAATTGCTTTAAGCTCATAGAGAGTGTCCAAACGAGTGCAATGGAGATGGGGAAGGTCCTTCAGGGAAAGCCATGCGAGGAGCGGCTGAGGGCTGGAGAAGAGGAGACTGAGGGGAGACCCCATTGAAGTTGCAACTTCTTCGTGAGGGGAAGAAGAAGGGCAGGCTCTGATCCCTTTTCTGTGGGGACGAGGTGCAGGACCCAAGGGAATGGCCTGAAGTTGTGTTGGGGCAGGTTTAGTTTGGATCTCAGAAAAAGGTTCTTACCCCAGAGGGTGGTTGGGCCCTGAACAGGCTCCCCAGGGCAGTGGTCACAGCACCAAGGCTGCCAGAGCTCAGGGAGAATTTGGATGATCCTCTGGGGCACTTGGTGAGACTCTTGGGGATGGGCTTGTGCAGGGCTAAGTGATGGACTTGATGATCCTGATGAGTCCCTTCCAACTCAGCAGATTCTGTGACTCTGTGATTCTTCTGTCATTCTGGTGATGGTTTATGTGCTGGGATAGAGGGCATTTTATCTTGCTCCCTTCTCTCTTGTCTTTGCAGGCTGGCACAGTCGTTCCCACAGCCCCTGGAGACCAAGCCATTGCTGAGCCAGCGGGAATCAGCTCCAGCTGGGAACCTGCCGGCGCGGCCGGAACGGCGCCCGCTGAGCGACACGTTCGCCGAGGGCTGGACTGATGGGTCCCACTACGACAACACGGGGTTCGTGGCCGAGGAGAGCACGGTGGAGAACCCCAACGCCAACCCCCTGCTCACCACCAAATCGAGGAGCTCATCTGCACACGGGCGCAGGCCGCTGATCCGACAGGACAGGATAGTTGGCATCCCCTTGGAGCTGGAGCAGCCGACGCTCAGAAACACACACGAATCTGAAGTGCCTCCTCCCAATCCTTGGCAAAATTGGACCAGAACCCCCAGTCCCTTTGAAGACAGGACAGCTTTTCCTTCCAAACTGGAAAGCACCCCCACCACCAGCCCTTTGCCTGAGAGGAAAGATCATGTCAAAGAGTCTCCTGAAATGACAAGTACTTTCCCTCCAGGAATAGCATGGGAATATCACGACTCAAACGCTAACAGAAGCCTCACAAATGTCTTTTCCCATATCCACTGTCGCCCAGATCCTTCCAAAAACGTCATTTCCATCAGCAAGAGCACGGAGCGGCTTTCCCCAATGATGAGGGATTTAAAAACGAACAAGTTTAAGAAGTCTCAGAGTATTGATGAGATAGATATTGGTACATACAAGGTGTACAACATCCCCCTAGAAAACTATGCATCCGGGAATGATACTGTAGGGCCTCACGAGAGGGTGGACAAGCTGCTGGGCCCAGAGCACGGCATGCTGAGCATGTCCCGCAGCCAGTCCGTGCCCATGCTGGACGACGAGCTGCTGACCTACGGCAGTGTCAAGGTGCAGCCGCAGCAGAAATCGTCCGTCACCAAGAAAGTCTACCAGTTCGACCAAAGCTTCAACCCCCAGGGTGCCGTGGAGGTCACGGCCGACAAGAGGCTCCTGCCGCCCTTCCAACTCAACCCCGAGTACATCCCCCAACCACCCAAAAACCTGCCCCAGGAGCTGGTGAGCCCGCGGGGGTACCACGGGTATGCGCCCGTGGATCCCATGTTCTCCTTCTCACAGCCCTCGGTGAGCGAGGAGCCCGTGGGGCCCCCCTTCGGCAGCCAGGGCGCACGGCCGGGCTTCCTGCGCAGAGCGGATTCCCTGGCCAGCTCCACCGAGATGTCCATGTTCCGCAGGGTCAGTGAGCCCCAGGAGCTGCCCCCGGGCGACAGGTACGGCCGGGCCCCGTTCCGCGCGGCAGCCGATCGCCAGAGCGGCATGGCCGTGCCCGAGGCACAGTTCCTCAAGCGCAACGGGCGCTACGAAGACGAGCTCCCTTCCTACCAGGAGGTGAAAGCCCAGACTGGGAGCTTCCCAGTTAAAAACCTCACGCAAAGGAGGCCCTTGTCTGCACGAAGTTACAGTACAGAGAGCTACGGCACATCCCAAACCCGGCCCGTCTCAGCGAGGCCGACAATGGCAGCGCTGCTGGAAAAGATTCCATCAGACTATAACTTGGGTAACTATGGCGACAAGCCTTCCGATAACAGTGATATAAAGCCAAGGCCTCCCCCTGGGAAGGGAAATGAGAGCTGTGCTAAAATGCCTGCTGACTGGAGACAACAGCTACTTAGACATATAGAAGCTAGAAGGTTAGACAGGGTATGTTTGGCATTTCTCTGCAATTAATGCCTTTAGTTGTGTGTTTCGGTATGTCAAACTATTTGCACGTGCAGTGGTGACCACCAGAATTCCCAGTAATGCAATTCCTGCCTCGTTGTCAGAGGAGCTGGCCCACAAAGGGCCCTGGGGGTGCTCAACTGGAGTGAAGGGTCCCAGATAAACTCAGAGGCTCCACTCTGGTCACTGAGGTGGTGGCTCCTGCAGCAGTACCCAAAATGATGAAAGCCCATGAGATTCTGTCCTGCTCATGGATGGGGATGTGCTGCTGGAGCCCACCATGTCAAGCACAACTGGGAGCTCTGGGAACATCTTGGCAGTAAAAGTGAACAAAGAAAACCACCATTGAGAATAAGTAAAATAATGTATTTTAGCTTTCGTATCACTGTTAGAGGGGGTTTAAAGGTGTCTCTTGACTGAGAAATAGCACTGGGTACCCACTGCCACTGTTTTGATCGAGGAATGTGACCATTATTCCTTTTAGCTGTAGGAAGTTGTGCTGATTTGCCTTCTATCCGAAGAATACAAGTCCTTTAGTGCATGATTTCAGTCATTACCTATTTAATGACCTACTTCATGAATTGCATTTACTTCATGATCTGAAGTGGTTGTGGAAAATTACTGTCATGAAATGCATAAGAAGGTAGTTGCCAAATGTGTCCATTTACCTACTTTATGCCAGAGCCTCCTGAGTTTGGTGTTACTACACTCCTCACCTCCCAGTTGCTCGGATGTGATATTTATTAAAATATCATTAGAGCCCAATGGGTTAAATTTAAAAATGGGCTCAAAGGCTGAAGTGTTTCCTCCCTTCAGCTCTTTCCCTTGTGCTGTGTAAAACCAATTGGAAAATTCTCCCCAGGGAAACCAGTGCACCCTGAGCAGAGCCATTTCTGGTGGAAATAAACGCTTCCCAGATGCTGTTTGTTTAAGAAATATCTTCACGCTTAGCTTACAGTGTGTATCAAGGAATACCTGAACTCATGAAAACTGACACTGGTGGTTCTGCTGAGTTGGCAGCAGTCCCTGTGAGCTGGTTACTGCTGGTTGCAAAGCTCTCAGGAGTTGAGCTGCCTGGTGGAGGCTTTGCTGGTGAGAAACTCTGGGCATTCCCATGGAGCAGCTGCTCTAGGAAAAGCCGCTGCCGGTCGGGTCTGTGCAGGACCGTGGTGGTGGGCAGGGAGCAGGTGCTCCTGGGATGGAGCAGAGCCTTCTCCCCCAGGGTTTGCTCCTTGGCACCTGACACATCCCAGGCCTATCTGTGGTTGCGCAGCTGAGCCTAAATTTGGCCATATTTGCAAAATAAAGACTTGTACCATGTGATACAACTCCAGATACCAACACACCTCATCTGCTGTCAGCGTGGAAGTCGTTTCTGGTATCCATTTTATGTACAACGAGCAATGTACTTGCTTTGTGTGACCCAGTGCATGCCCCGGGGAGCTATTGATCTCTTGGGACTGTTTGTTTGCTTAAACTAAAACTTTGTGAACTTAACCATATATGTGTGATACTTAATTCGATGAGCATGTGTGTTCATATCTGTCACGTGGTTGTTTCCTCTACTCAGACCGCTGCTTACAAACACCACACAGTTAGCCTTGGCATGCTGCACTCTGGAGGGGTTTCAGCAATGCATGCCGGCCGAAGCATGACTTTAAACTTGCAGACTAAATCTAAATTTGAAAACCAAATGCTTCAAGAGCTACCTCTACCGAAAGTAAGTATGGGCTAGCCAGCACCACCAGCATTCCCAATAAATTAACTTCTTGCTTCCTCCTGGTTTAGCTTTTGCCTACTACTCATGCTTATACAGACCCGATGCAAAAAGCAAGGGTGGCAGTGGTACAGTTTTCCTCCCTTGCTTTTTGGATTCTGGGTTTCCCGTGGCTGTCATTCCTGCTTCCTGCTCTCCTCCTCCAGACCGGTGCCATCATTTTCTCAATCTGTGCAGAGAAATGGGGAACGTGCTTTGCTCTGAGACTGAGCTTAAAAAAAAGGACTGTAGAAATGTTGAATATGCATTTAAATAGGCTCCAGGAGACAGGGATTTTAATATTTGAGCATTAACTGGCTCTGCTGTAGTAGCTGATGAGCTTTGAGCACACCTACCACACCCAAACCCATTTTAAACTTTGGTTGAGTAACACATGTAGAAAGAGAATAACCTCATTTTTTACTATTTTACATCTGTTCTTGGTATATTGCCGACAAGTACAGACATACAAGATCATCCTAAACAAATGTTTGAAGGGAAAAGCACACAGGACAAGCCAGAGAGGGACACTGCTGCAGGACTTGCAGTGTCAAAGAGGAGATCCTGAGACCTTCTGTGCATCCATGTGGCCACACTTCCAGGGTCAAGGCAATGTAGGAGGGACAAGCCTCACTTGGCCTCTCCCTGCTTTGGCAGCAGGAGCTGTTGGGACACATTAGCAGCATCTCTAATTAAAGGGCAGCAGAGCACAGATCCAGGCGCTGCCATGGGATCAGCTGTGCTGGTAATTGCCAGGCTGGCCTCCAGCACTGCTGGCACCTGCCCAGGGAGGACCAGCCCTGGCCAGAGATTCCCACAGGAGGCTTCCAAGGCCCTGTTTCAGAGCTTACATCCAAGGCTGGTGAGAAAATAGGATGATTTAATGGCAGCAGCACGAGCAGGTTGTGTGGGTTGGACAGACCTCGACCCTGCTCCTCTCCCTGATGCAGGACGAACTCCGTGCTGGAGTTCTGGGCAGAGCTGGGACAGGATAACAGCACACATAGATCAGTGTCAGGCTTTTCCTGCCGGGACTGACTCTCCATACACTGTCACCTCCATCCCACATGCCATCAGCTGTCCCTGGGTTGTCCCCCTCGCTCTCTGTGCTTCTCTGTTGTTGGGTGGGTGGCACCGAGAAGCCCCCCAGGGGTGTGTGTTGGCCACGGGTGACATTCCAGTGTTGTCTCTGCTTCCAAAGAACCTGTTTGTCTCCTCGGGTACATGCCAGGTCTTGTCACGAGTCCTTGAAAAAATCCATTTGCCATCAACCCCAAATAACAGTGCTGGTTTGCTACACATCAGGAACACAGTGTTTTATAGCACTTCCAGGATTTGAGGCTGTAAATGTATATGGATATTAATGGATGGATGTCTGAGGAATTAATGAATCTGTTCAGAGTGATATATTTTGGGGTGTGCTCTGATGTGGATTATTCTGCTTTCTATTCCACCAGCATTTCACTGCTCCATACCCATAAAAACTGTGATGCTGAAGTGCATTAAGGGGGTTATTCTCTTATTGTACTGTTTGGGAAGCAGGGGGAAATTGCTGTTGAATGAATGTCGTGTATATTTGGTATTGTTTTATTCTATTCCTTCATATGTTCTAAAGGATTTGCATTTCTTGATGAATCCAGGCCACAGCAGTTTAATTTTTGTCTCCTTCTCCTCCCTCCTTCCTGTGGCCTGGATTCAAGAGAGTAATGAGTGAGGTCTGGTTGTCCAGTAGATGGTCAGGAAATCAAGTTTACCAATAACTTATTTTCAGAATGTTTATTACATTGATTCTGCTTGCTGTAGAAAATGCTTGAACTGCTGCTTTTCATTGTTTACCCAGATTTAATAGATGTGGGTTTGCTTTCAGTCTGTCCGAGCTCAGAAAATGAGCAATATTGCAAGGGGTCAAATTCATTTTGCTGCAGAAAATGAAACCACAGAATTTACCTGTTTATTGAGAAAGCAGAAAACACCCTCTGTGTTTTTTCTTTTGCCCTCTCGAGTGCAAACTCTCTCCTGCAGATCAGTCAGTGGGGAAACAACCCAGAACTTTTCCATTTTTGGGATCCATCTCCCAGGTGTTTTAAAAGATAATGGTTTGGTGGAATCCATTCCCAGAAGTGTCTGTTGCCACCTCCCTTGGGAATAATAGTCAGTCAGGAGGAAAGGAGAGGTTCCCTTTGGAATGAGCCTCTCTACCCCCTCTCTGCATGGGGAGGGCATCCAGAGAGGCCCAGAAGCTGATCCCTCAGGATGTGAGAGGATTCTCAGGACAGCTCTGGAAGGGATGGCTTTATTTTCTGTTTTAATGGTGTAAAGAAAGCTCCACAAGGAGATCTTTCAACAGTGGAAATGTTTTTCTAGTGGTTTTTAATAGAAGGAAAATAGCAACTTCCATGATTTTTCTGGAAGACTTGAATGATGAAAGAATTATCATGAAAATTTTCTTTCATTTGAAATAATCAGGGTTGAAATTTTTTTATTTAGTCACTGAGATGTGTGATTTAATCACAATTTACTTCTACTTACTTTTAAACTTCTGTTAAAAATAGTTTTTAATTGACAAGTTCCCAGCTTTCATGTTTCAAAGCAAATGCAGTTCTTCAGCCATCTAAATAAGTGTATCCTGATTTTCTGTAATCTAAGCTGGAAAAGTATTTGCTTGAATGACAGAGGGGAAAAATAGATATTTTTGTTTCTTTGTAGATTATCATTAATCAGAACTCAGTAAGCACTACATCATTCAGGTACTGTCAGTGGTAGCACAGTGTTGGAATTTTGGAAAGTCTGACCTCCATATTATGAAAATTTCCAGTGATGGTAGAGAAACAGAGGGACAGATAACAGAAAATCAAGATGGGACAGAAAAAGCACAAAGACCCTCCAAAGTCCTGAAAACAGGAGTAAAATAACCAGGGGAAAAAGGGACAAGGAAGAAATATTTATAACAGGAGAGAAAAGGGAAAGATAATAATATTTAGGAAACTTTAAATGTGTGTTATGGCCATTTAAATTCAGAAAAAAAATTTAATTATGAGTTAATATTGTGCATGTAGTAATCTATTGGCTTAACACAAGACAGGCCCAGCCTAGAGAGGTCTGGGAGCCTCAGATGGAGCTGAGTGAGGGGAACAAGGAGTCACAACTTCACCTTTGCCGTCAGGGAATGTTTTCTGCAGAAAATAAAAGGATCAAATTTGTCTTTGTGGCAAATACTTCATAAAAAAAGTCTTTGCTGCTTGAACGAGCAGCAAGAAATTTCTAACTCACTGTTAAGGGCAGACTGCACATTGAAATGTGGGATTTTAACCAAATTTGTTTCTCTGAGTCATGTAAAATGAATTTTCTCTTTTCTCTCATCATTCATTATTCTCATTACTTCTCTCCTATGCCTTTCAAGCCCTCCTGCTTGCAGAGGGTCCCTGAGCAATGTGGTCACATATTAATGAAATACGGGGGGAATTAGGAGAGTTTCTGTTGTAGCAATAGCACGGTGTGGTTTATTTAACTGGGTTGGTGACTGAACTAAAGCTGAGGAGGGGTTGTTTGGTGACTAAAGGCTGCCCTACATTTGTGCAACAGACCCCGTCGCAGCAGAGCAGCATCCTGGACAACGGGCAGGACGAGGTGTCCGTGGGCAGCCAGTGGAACCCGTACCCGCTGGGGCGGCGGGATGTTCCCCCCGACACCGTCACCAAGAAGGTAAGGAAGGGATCCCAGAGTGGATCCTGCTCCCAGCACCTCTCCAAGGAGGAGAGAAGGTGTATGAGGACACACCTGGTTTTGTTTCAAGGCTTAAAGCATAATTGTTGGGAATTCGAGGCGTGTTTTGCCACTGTTTGTGTGGTTCCATCTCTGGTGTATGCAGTGGGCACAGGGGGTTGGGCAGGTGTGTTCCTCTCCCTTGGCCTGCAGAGTCTCATCAGATGTTTCATTTCAATGGCAGTTATAACAAATGAAAGGTTGGGATGGTGCCAACCCAGCTCTGAACAGGCAAAGCTGTTTCATTGATAAACTCACCAGAAATGGGTCTAATTTCTGGTACCTTGTGGTGGATGTTGAATTCCAGTGCTTGGAGCTGGGCTGCTCATCTGCAAACACTGGCTGTTCCCTCCCAGCCCCAGCTTGGCTCATCCACTCAGGAACTGCTGGGTTTGGCTGCTCTAATCGCAGAGCTGGAGAATGAAGGGTCCTGACAAACTCAGCTGTGTTTGGAGTCGATGCTGGGAGGTGGAGCTGCACATTTCAGCTGGGATAATTACAGTGGTCATTTGCCTACATGGAGATCGAACCAGCTCATCCCTGGAGTGAAGTCCTAGGGGTGAATAACACCAGTGAAAGTCATGGTGTGCACACTGATAACTGCTGTGTGATTAACCCTCAGCTGATGAGGAAGGACCTCCCTTCTGCCTTCACAGCTTTTATCCCAGGCAGTGGCAGAAGCAGCAACCCTTGGCTTCACAGAGAGGTGCAACCACAGGTCCATGAGTACGGGAGGATTGCTGGAAGATGGGAGAGGGAAATTGTACCTCCCTCTGGAAATTGCCCAGAGGGAGGAGGAAGAAGAGGAGGAGGAGGAGGAGAAGGGTGCCGTGACGGGGTGTGGTGGAATTGGCTCTGACAGTCAAGTTATTTATCATCTGATATGCAAGAAATGAGAAATGTAAGAAAATTAATTTCTTGTCTTCACTGGTATTTTTGGATAAAACCTGTGTTGGTCCATTCCCTGCTGGACACTGTTGCTGTCTAGCATTTGTGGACCATCAGTGCACAGTCAGTTCTGTAACAGTTCACCATCAACAGAGCACCATCAGGATTGTAATAAATTGAACTGCAGACTTTCTTTTGTTCTGAATATTTCAGTATCTGGCTGCTCCCATGGGATAAGTACAAACATTGCTTCACTCAGCAAATCTATCATTACACCCACTGCCAGCTACTCCAACTGTACTGTAAATATTGGACACCGAGCTGAAAATAATTAACTTTTGTACTGGATGATAAGTAAAGAATACAGATGAAATTGGGGAAGCAGTCTGCATAATAGAGATTTTTTTCTGCAGAAGAAATAATTCACATTTCCATGAGAAGCAGCTTATCCCCCTCCAGAAGAGCCACGGTGTGAATCCACAAGCAGGAGTGATACAATCTCCTCAAAGTCTATTAACAGCAGAGAGAAAATGAATTCTGAGAGATGTTTACGCACCTTCTTCAGGAGAGGTTTGTAATGTGCTGGTGTGACAACACTCATCTCTCCAAGCAAAGTCACCTCCAATGTCTTGGTTTTCCAGCATTTGGGGATTAAAATCCAGCAACTGTTTGAAGCCATTCAGAAACTCTTCTGTAGAACCGAAGTTCAACATAGCAAACAATTAAATGTGTGAATATAACTTCTAATATGTTTTGGTTTTCCACTAACTGGGCTCCTGCAGAGCGGAGTCACTGTGCGGTAGAGCTGTGCTTGGGAGATCATGGTAGGAAGAGCTGAGAGTTGTTTTTCCAAGGGGAAGGGTGTGTATGGCAGATTGATGGACTGTGTACTCAGGCTGATGTAGAATCGTGGGATCATTTAGCTTGGAAAAGATCTCCAAGATCATCGAGTCCAGCCATTAAGTGATATCTGTCTAACTATATATAGACATTAATACACGTTCCCAAATTTCCCACGCACAGAACTATTCTGTGTGTAGTGATGGCTCGCACTGTCAGTGAGCTGGGAATGCTGCACAGGCGTCACTACTTCATTATCTGGGTTGTGGGTGGTTGTTTCCATCCTTCTTGCTGTTCATAATGCAGATTAAATGCCCATTTTACCTCAAGTCCATAATTTATGGGCTATTTCCCCTGTGGCAAAATTGGATATTTTAATCTCCCAATTGAATAATCCACTGATTTATTAAAAGACTATTAAAAGCCTGCAGTATTTAGGCTTCCTGGAAAATGACTTTTACTGTTGTGTCCACAAGACAGAAACACAAGACAGGAGCCATCCTTCCTTGGCTGGTATTAGCAAAAGACCAGGTTGATATAAATGCAATATTTAACTTGTATTTACCAAATATTGGAGCTTCAAACCAGCAGATGTTGTCACAGAAATATTATTACAGAAATTTGATTGGTTACATTTGGTAAAAGCCACATTTGGTTACAGGACAAGGTATAGGGTTTAACTGCTGGTGCTTTCCATACACAGAGCATAACCCTGGATAATTTCTGTCTGTGTTACAGATCTTATTCCAAATTATCCTCAGAAAAAACAAACATTCAAGTATCTTCATAGTGGGATGTGATAAATTATTCACCCTCCTTTGATTTATTAAATGTTTTCAGTTCACAAAACATCCTGAGCAGAAGTGTAGATGTGACATGAGGAGAAAAATACCTAATGTTTATCAAATGGCTGATTCTCCCCAAACTTCCCAGGTCCCCAGTGCCATGCGCATGTCCCTGCTGCTTTTAATCCTGTTTTTTTCAGCTGTGCTCCAAAGGCAAACCTCTGCTGGGTCTCAGGTTTTCTTGGGCCCGACTCTGTGAGTTTAATAATCGCTTCTTTTCAGCCTCCTTCGTGGCCTAACAGGTTGCGTTACCCACAGGCAGGTAGCCACATCCAGACCCTCATGGGATCCCAGAGCCTGCAGCACCGGAGCCGGGAGCAGCCCTACGAGGGGAGCATGAACAAGGTCACCATCCAGCAGTACCAGCCGCCGCTGCCCATCCAGATCCCAGCGGCCCAGAGCTCCCGAGCCCCCCAGACCGGGCGGTGCCTCATCCAGACCAAGGGCCAGCGGAGCACCGATGCCTACCAGGAGCAGGTGAGAGGGTCTGCACTGCAGCTTCAGGGCAGAGATGTTCCTGTGTTTTCCAAGGTGTCCACGGTACAAGAGAGCCTCGGGCAGGAATGGGGCAGCTGAGCTGGGCAGCCCAAGGAGCTCTGGATGGTCTGGGAGAACGGTGGTTGTACTGGGGGAGCTCTGGATGGACTGGGGGAGCTCTGGATGGACTGGGGGAGCTCTGGATGGACTGAGGGCAGGCCAGCCCATCCCATTCCCCAGCACCAGCCATCAATACCCATTTTCTCTTGGACTGATCAAGTGACACCATTTGCCCTTTAAGACCCTGAGCAGAACTGGCATCTCAGGGTCACACTGAATTAATTTGCGCCTTCTGCCTGTTCCCTAGCAGCCCAGTTAAGTGTCAACAGGGCAGGTTATTTTATAACACACTAATCTGCTCGGATCTGCCCAGTGAAAGGCCATCTGCAGCCCCAGTGTCCCCAGCACTGGGGAGTTCCTTCATTAAGTGGTCCTGTCCTCATTATATTTGGCCCTAATGACTGAAATACCTGTTTGGGGCCCCTGACTTTGCTGAATGAGGTGCAGAACCATCAGTAAACCTTTCTCTTGTGTGAAGTGCTGGTCAAGCCACGTGAGCAGCTCCCTGTATTACATCCCTGATGTTCAGAACCAGTTGCTGGTGTGGCTCGAGGATGTGCTAAGCCCAGCTCAGTGGACAGTCATTAATCTCCTCTGAAGTAATTTTTATTTTACATTCAATGACCCAATGCTATTTAGAGTCATCCTGACTAAACGAGAAGGTTCAGCACTGTCTCCTGGGGTAGAAGTGGTTGGTGCTCAGTGCAGGTTGTGGGCCTGTGCCCTGACCTGGCAATGCTCTGAAGATCCCTGAGCTTTGAGTATTTATCCCTTGCTTTGTCCCAGGGATGCTGCACATGTGACTCCTTCTGGAAAAATAAAATTTCACAGATTAAGCTTCACTGACAGGTTTATCCCAATGTTTAAAAGAAAAATTTGGCCAATGTGAACATCTCACGAGTCTAACGGGTTTTTTTTCCTCCTTGAAAACGAAACTTTAAAATCCGTGCAAAAAATCTGTGAATGACAGGGGATATTATGGTATCACTGTGTGCTAAAATCATGCCAGTACTTCCAGTTTATAGCAATATTCCACTGACTTTCTCCACGCTGTGCAGTGCAGGGCTCAGCTCGAACCCCTGATGGTGAACGGGATGTATGGGAAGAAGGGTGCTGTGGTTTAGGAAGGGATTAATGTTGGCATCCACTTACCCCACCCTGTCTTTCTAACCTAGTTTTGTGTGAGGATAGAGAAGAATCCTGGCCTGGGGTTTAGTATCAGTGGTGGAATAAGTGGACAAGGAAATCCATTCAAACCTTCTGATAAGGTACGTTGGGAATTTCTCTCTACCTGGTCCTTATTTTAGAGTGGAGACGTCGAGAACATGAGTGAGATGTTTATGGAGATGTGGAGAACATGAGTGAGATGTTTATGCCCTTCTGTTGTGATTATTGAAAGACTTTTCCCCATACTTGACTTTTTTGGTTGGTTGGTGGGTTTGGGGTTTTTTTTAGTGTTGTTTGCTTTCTTTTCCCAGTTAATGAAAATGACAGAATCAAACATCAATCCCATGGGTGTCTGCCCCATATTCCATGTCTAAGATAATTTGTAAGGCTGTTTTCTGGAGAACTTTCTCTCTCACTTTTAAGAGTCACTTTTAGCCCTGATTTAAGCTTTAAGTAAATTAATTAGAGAGGACACTAAACCAGCAGTACTGGTAGATGGAATGCCAGGGTTTGTAGCTGCTGTGTCACATAGAACCAGCCTGGCCTGTAAACTGGAGATCACTGGATCCTTACAAACCCCATGGCAGCAGTTACGTTCTGTGCTAGAAATTAAGAACGTCCCCATGAGATACGCAGTGGTCAGGGAGACTCAGGATTCATTGTGGGAACTGGAAGTCTAAGATAAATCTCTATGTGATAAAAGGAAGCCTAGAAAAACTCCACCATCTGGTGATTCCCAGCTCCCGGGGCTGTAGGATTAGGAAATGCACTCTTAGACCTGTAAGTTTGTCTGTTTGGTGCAATAAAACTGAGTGGAGTTTGTTGGAAAATGAGCACTTTGGGCACCTCTCTGTTGAACACATTCCTAGAGCTGATGTCCTTTGCTAATCCTGGATTCAGTTTGCAGAGACTGCCAGAACTTCCATAAGTACGGAGAATGTTTGGCAAGTGATGAAAATTTTTAAAATTCTCTTTTCATCTCTTTTCAAAACTTTGAGATCTGCCTGCAAATTAAAGAAATCAATTCCCCACCTTTCTGAATTGCAACAGAAAACTGACTGGGAATGTAAAATAGGCTTGGAAATACCAACCTGACACAGTCTGAATTCCTGGTCTAAGGAAGGTGTCCTTGCCCATTGCAGGCAGTGGAACAAGATGGGCTTTAAGGCCCCTCCCAATCCAAACCAGTCTGGGATTCTGGGATTCAGTTTTCTTATTGATAATCCCTGTTTTGAACTTCCAGAGTAGTTCCATGTAATGTACATAAAACCCAGGAATTTTAACTATTGTCCTTCAAAATGTTCTCATTTTTGATGTCCTTGGAGACTTCACACTGGAATTATACTTTATAACATTGGGGCCTGGTTTTGCTTAGTTGAAGGTGGGATGATAGAATTAAGCTGGACTTTTCTGGTTGTCAGGTGGCTTAAGTGACTGAAGGAGAGTCCCTGTTCCACTCTAAATGTGTCTGGAGCAAGGCAGGAACAGCTGGAGATAGAACTGGTTTTCCCACTCACAGGAACATAACTCAGGGAGAGGAATTAATAGTTAAAGGGTTTTTCTATATTGTTACTCTGAACCATCACTTCCCACACAGTGACACCAGATTTGCCATATTTTAAATGAAACGCTGATATCACTGGAATGAGAGGACACGAGAAGCCATGGAGAAGCCACCATTCCTTTGGAACAGCAGACCCCTGCCACAAGTTCATGGCACAGGGATGAGCTTTCAGCAGCCCGTGGCTCTGCTCACAGTTTTATACTGGGTTTCATACTGGGAATACTGGGCAGGACCTTGCTCACGAGACTGTAAAATCCTTCAAGGAGGCACATGATGGTGGTGCCAAGCAGGGATTTCCCTGGTATGCCTGGGAGCAAAGGGAATGTTCACATTTAGCCTTGGATTCCCCTTGGAGCAGGGAGAGCATAGCACAGACACTGAGGGGCCAGGACTGATGAGCTGTGTGGGAGTTTAACGTGCTCATCAGCTGGAACCAACCTTTGATTTGGGAGTTTATTAACATATTTTACTGAAATTCTGAAAACAAATCCATAACTATCCCTTATTCTTAATAGCTTTTCCTCTTTCAAAGCCTTTCACTGCTCAGACACTGGATTTAAGGTCTGTCCCACAGCACTAAAGATCTCAAGGGCTGAATAATCAACTGCTTTCTAGACATCTTTTTAACTTTTTTGTTTCCTAGAGCAATCAAACAAAGACTACTGTGTAGATTATGGTAGAGATTATTCTAATAAATTAATGCTTGCTCCATTTTACTTACCCTCCTGATAACCCTTTCACTCTATTCATATTGGACAGTATTTTGTGAGGTGGAATCTTAGTTAAAAATGACCCACAATTATATTTATTGGTTGAAACAGCTGAAGCTGCTAGAAACCCAACCTAGTGTTTGATTACGAACAGATTAAAATGGAGTTTGGTGTTCAGCCCAAGTCTATAAAGCCCCCAGACCCCAGTTAGGGACTCACCTGTATTTTGGGCTGTAGGTCTCGGAGATGGCATCCTAACCTGTGTTACTTTGACTTATAGGGTATCTTTGTTACTAGGGTTCAGCCTGACGGCCCCGCATCCAGCCTGCTCCAGCCCGGGGACAAGATCCTGCAGGTACAGGGGGAGGGACTGCTGGGGGGCTGAGGGCAGCTCAGAAATGCAGTGGTGGTGATGCAGGCCTGAAGTTGTGTCAGGGCAGGGTTAGGTTGGATCTCAGAAAAAGGTTCTTCCCCCAGAGGGTGGCTGGGCACTGAACAGGCTCCCCAGGGCAGTGGTCACAGCACCAAGGCTGCCAGAGCTTAAGGAATGTTTGTTTCCTCTGGGGCACCTGGTGGGACTCTTGGGGATGGTCCTGTGCAGGGCTAAGGGCTGGACTCGATGATCCTCATGGGTCCCTTCCAACTCGGGATATTCTGTGATTCTGTGAATTAACTGACAGTTCTGTTTTTATATAAACTATTGTATATAGTTTGATATTGATTTATAGCAGAATTACTTGCAGAACTTTTTGTCCAGGTGGCCAAGAAGGCCAGTAGCACCTGGTTTGTATCAAAAATAGTGTGGCCACAGCCCCAGGGAAGTGATGTTCCCCTGTGTTGGGCACTGCTGAGATACCTACAGTGCTGGGGTCCGTTCGGGGCCCCTCAGACAAGAGAGACATTGAGGGATGGAGGCATGTCCAGAGAAGGGAATGGAGATGGGGAAGGATCTGGAGCACCAGGAGCAGCTGAGGGAGCTGGCGGGGCTCAGCCTGGAGAAGAGGAGGCTCAGGGGGGGCCTGGAGCAGGTGTGGCCATGGAGCCTGATTCCCTTCCTGGGCTGTGTCCATTATCCTGGAGAATGGTGGATCTTCTACTTCGGCCTATTAAGCACAGTCAGTGAAATGTGGGTAATTATGTTTAACATTTGACTTTTGAAATAGTGTTGAAACAGACAAGAGAGGGATTATTATAGAGAGATTTAATTGACAGAACAGCTTATAAATACTTCCCTCTCTATTTCTGTATCCAAACGGAGCCCATCCTGCCCATACATGCAGCACAGCACCTGGAATATGGAAACCTTCCATCCCAGAGTTATGCTTCCTCAGGAAACACACAAACTATCCCAGAGTCACAAGATCTTTTCAGTGGGAATGAAGTATTCCCTGGAGCCTCCAGTTCAGCCCCTGCTCAAAGCCAATGGAGGGCGAGAGAAACGTGTGCTCAGTGTTTGTGGGATCCTTATGTGTCCATTATTTATTTTAGCTTTTTATTTCCATCCACCCCTTTGTTCCACCAACATGAAGCCACTATAGAGCTTTCTCCTGTGTTTGTCCCTGTTGCAGGCCAATGGACACAGCTTTGTACATATGGAACACGAGAAGGCTGTGCTTCTACTGAAGAGTTTCCAGAACACAGTAGACCTTGTTATTCAACGTGAGCTTACTGTCTAAATATTTTTTTATAAATAGTAAATATGTCTAGCCAGATCTAATGTTCAAACAGATTTATACATAGGAAACCAATTTTTTGCCAATTGCTGGACCAATGGCAAACAGTAGTGCCAAATGTATAATACTCTATGTTAGTACCAATCATCGGGAAAAAATATATTAACTATATAAATATATTGTTCATGTGGCTCCGTATTAGTTTTACTTGTCAGCCTCTGGCTGTGCATTGGTGCGTTTTTTTAATCAAGTTACTTCTTAAAGTCGATTTCATATGATTTCAGAACACAGAAGCACATACAAATCCTTTAGGAATTCTGCTGTCCATCAGAAACACTGCCTCAGAGTTGTATATGCCTTTATAAAGATGAACTATATTAACCTGTACTTCCCATGAAATATTTCTATCATGTCGCATACAAAAGTATAGAGAAAAAAATATTTTCATAAACACCTCAAAGAAAGTATATATTAAATTAAATTTAATAATGTTCATTTATTTTCAATGCAAAGATATTCTATGCCTTATGAAAATACCTGTACATATGCCGTGTGTATAGTTGGCTCCGTAGGGATCAGGAACAATTCATATACAGGGTGAGAGACTTCTGAAATTGGAACTCTGGGACCTCGGTACAAAAACCCACATGGAAATGGGAGAACTTCCTTTGGAATGGGCCAGGTTGGATGGGCCTTGGAGCAACCTGGTCTAGTGGAAGGTGTCCCTCCCTGCCCATGGCAGGGGATGGAATGGGATGAGCTCTAAGGTTCCTTCCAACCCAAACCATTCTATGGTTCTATGATTCTGACTTCCTTTGGAATGGGTTAACTCCCTCTGGAATGGGTTAACCCCTTTGATTTGGCACTTCCCGTGGATTCCATGTGCACACTCTACAGGAGAACTCCGAGGACAGGCAGGTTTGGCTCACGGATGGAGGAAGGTTGTGATGGTGGCAGTAAAACTTCTTTTGTTGCTGCTAATTTTATTATTTCACTTTTTAAATTTCCAATTCGAGGCCCTTTACTCACATCTCCCATTCCCATGGACATTGTTGTGTATTTTCACTGGCTCCAGGCCGGGCCGGGCCCAGCTTGGGATATTCCCATCGAGGAGGCTTTATGTGATCCTTGATTTGATCAGGAGTGCTTTACAGGGAATGGGAGCAGGTTTGAGAGCTGCCACATCCCAGGGAGCAGCAGGTGACACTGAGTGACACCAAGCCAGCCTGGAAGGAGCATTCCCAGCTCAGGGCACAGTGTGACAACCCCTCAGGTCCAAGTCCTGGTGCTGCTCCCAACAGAGAGAGTCCTGACAGCTGCTGGTGGTTCAGGGCTCCAGCGTGGTTATACCTGGCAGCAAGATGGAAAAAGACAGGGAAACCTCCCTCCAGGTGTTTTCAGGGGATCCCATTTCCCTGAGGAAGGGATGAGGGAGAGCTGGCACCAGGCTCGTCTGTGCCCGGACTCATTCCCCCCCAAATATCCCACGTCCAAGGGTGCAGCCACAGCCCACAGACATAGCTGGGGATATTCCACTTCGCTGCCTCCAAGAGCCACTAGGAATTCCTAACCCTTCCCTCCCTGGCTGTGGGACCTTTTGGAGATTTGCTGGGAGCGGAGGGACAGAGCTGAGCCCCAGAGAGCCGAGGGGTCTCCCCTACACAGGGGGTCCTGCACAGGGCGATGGTGGGGGAGGAAAAAGAAAGCAAAAAGGCTGCTTTCAAAATGCTTTTTTAAATTTTTTTGAGGAAAAAACTCAGCCCAGACCGCAGGAAGCCTCCAGGACCCCCTTTTCCCAGTGCCAGCTCACAGTTCGTATCCAGGTGATGACAAACTAGGGGAGTTATCGACCAGGTGTTGCAACAGCAACAATTTAACACCTTCAAATCTTGCTTTCTGAGATATTTTATAACACATCCACATCTGCATCTGTGTTTGGTGGCAGTGCCAGCCCCTGTGAGAGGACAAGAGATGCCAGCCAGGTGCCCAGCCAGTGGCTCCAAGCAGGGACCAGGCAGGACAATACTAGGGGGGAATGGGACAGCTGAGAGCAGAGCCCAGGAAATCCAAGGAAAATCCAAGGAAAAAAGGATATGGAATGTCTGGAATGTTGGTTTGCTGCTGTTAGTGAGCACTTGGAGTGTAAAGGTGTTGGTTAAAGCCCCTTCCAGTGCCTGAAGGGGCTCCAAGAGAGCTGGAAAGGGACTTTGGACAAGAGCCTGGAGGGACAGGACAAGGGGGAATGGCTTCCCACTGACAAAGGGCAGAGTTAGATGGGATATTGGGGAGAAATTTCTGGCTGTGAGGGTGAGGAGGCCCTGGCACAGGTTGCCCAGAGAAGCTGTGGCTGCCCCATCTCTGGAAGTGTCCAAGGCCAGGTTGGACAAGGCTTGGAGTAACCTGGGATAGTGCAAGGTGTCCCTGCCCATGGCAGGGAGTAAGACTGGATGACCTTTAAGGTCTCTTCCAACCCAAACCAATCTGGGATTCTATGAAACCTCTCTGCTGTAATATAGCATTAATTACCTTATGCAATCAAAAATGCTTATTTATAGATGTGTATATATCTGATAGGGAGATTTACAACAGGAAATGCAAACCCTGTATTAAATTACAAAGGCACATTTGGATCAGCTGAGACAGGTCATGGTGTCAGACCCAGGTCTGTACAGGGTCAGTGGGGATCAGGGTGGTTATTCCTGGGAATTGTCTGTGGCAGGAGAAGGGCCGGAGCCGGGGCTGTGCTGCCCAGTCCAGCTCAGGACATGGGGGGCTGTATTTTCCCCCATCCAGGCAGACCCTGTCCAACAGGATCAGGGTTGGACATGGCTCACACACAGGCACAGGAGGTGACAGGGCTGTGGAGTCACCACCCACCTTGGCAGGATTTGGCCATAAACTAAAACACAAGAACTTCCACCTCAACATGAGGTAGAACTTCTTTCCATGGAGGGTGGCAGAGCCTGGAATAGCTGCCCAGGAAGGGCATGGAGTCAGTCTCCTTAGCTGGAGACATCCCAAATCCACCTGGACAAATTTCTTTGTCACCTGCTCCAGGTGACCCTGCAGGGGGTTGGACTGGGTGATCTCCAGAGGTCCCTTCCAACGCCAGCTATCCTGTGATCCTGTGAACTGGTTGGATTTCACAGTTAGAAATCCCACACTGGGGAAGATGGGAATTCTCTCTGCAGTCTGAGCTCCCTGCCCGTGGCTGGCGTGGCCCCTCCCTTCTCTCCCTTCCAGATTCCATAATTCCCTCTTGAAGCGCACAAAGCCGTCTGGCCTCATCCCCTTATTCCCAGGCACTCAGGCCCTGAGTCATTCCCTGTGGCCGTGCCAATACAACTTTCCGGGCAGTAGTTTGATGGGATACGGATCCATTGAGGGTTTGGGTGCTGTGGGAACGAGGCTGTTGGCACTGTGGGCCACTCCAGGAGCCTGCAGGGCCACCACCAACCCAATCCCAAAAGGGACCGTTTGCAAATCATGGAATTGAAATAAAAAACGAAACTAAAAAAACTTTGCCAATCCCCTTCCTGGATGATTCCAGCCGATTTTGTGGAAGTGACTGAATGACACCATTGCATTGTGTGAGGACCCCTGGCCCTGGCACTCAGGGCCTGTGTCTCTGGGCTGCCTCGGTGGCTCATGTCCCTCCCTCGTGTCCCCCCCTCGTGTCCCCTCCCCGGGCAGGGCACTCGCTCATCACTTCGGTTTTCTACCTGTGAGTACTGTATCCGGTTCAGAACCAACAGCTTCCTTTATTAAAGATTTTACCATTTTATAAAAGACATGTTTAATTATGATGGAGATGGCTGTATTGTAATTAATATTTTGAGATAATTGTGATTTTGAGCTTAAATTATATACAGAAATGGTCATTTTTGTATGTGTTCAAAGATTGCTATATTCCAGATGACTGTACTTTTCAGTTGAATTCCAGTATTCCTGTAAATAAAGCTGAATGAGGAAATATTTACTACTTTATTAACATAGATTGTGAATGTACTTCATGTTTTTTGCAGTATAAAGACTTAACTGAACTTGAAAGCTGCTTCATTTTATGTGCAAAAAGGTACTTCAAAAATTCTATTTTAAATCTATTGATTGAGTGCAATCAACTCTCGTCCCTTGGCACATGCAGGTTGTCCCCTCCCCGTGCCCTGTGGGGCCCCGGCCCGTGCGTGTGGTGTTGATGCATTTTGCAGATGCTTCTGTCCATAGGGAGCCCAGGGACTGAACCGCCGCTGTGCAGTATTAATGCAGAGCCATTTTCGGCTTTGGTGTACCCGAATTTTTCAGTATTTCAAAAAAAAAAGTGTTTTGAATAACATTAAAAAGTCTCTTTATTGTATAAATAATAAAAATGTCACCTTATTGTAATTCTTTCGGGTCATTTCTTTGCTGTCGGGAAGGATGGAAGGTCTGTGAGGGGGAGGAAGGGGTGGTTGTTCCCCACATCCCTCCAGAAGTGGGCCTGGAAAATTGGGCAACTCTCCTTGCTACTGTGGGACATCAGATAAGGAATGGAAGCGGTGCAGATGGTGAAGAAAACTCAGTGTTTACTGCTTTTGGGGAACAAATGGTGCATGAAAGGAAAAATGTATGGAAACGAGAGGGCTGGGGTTGAGAGCTGCAGCAACTCCATCATCCAGTGAACTGGATCCATCATCCATCATCCAGAGCTGCCCATGGACATGTTGGAGCTCTACCAAGAACTCTTGGAGCTTAGAACTACACACAGATACCATCAGGTATTTCCCACAGGAAACATCCTCTCCTTCTCTTTTCTGCTGCCCTCCTAGTCTTTCCACACAGGTTAATACTCTGAATTTCCCCACTAGCCTGGGCAGTTCTGGTCCTCTCCACCAGGACCATGGGGAAGCACAGCTGGGGCTGAGGTCCCTCAGCCATCCCTGCTCTGGCTGAAAGGCATTTCCTAAACCTGGAGACCTGAGCAGTTTAGTGTATTTTATGTTAATTCTGGACACATTCAAACCCTGGAAGGTTTAGTGTTGAACTGTATTAAATTTTGCTGTGATCCAGAACCTCAAGTGCTGTGTCCTGTTCTGGGCCCTCATGACCAGGACATTGAGGGGCTGGAGCGTGTACAGGGAAGGGAACAGAGTTGGGGAAGGATCTGGAGCACCAGGAGCGGCTGAGGGAGTGGGGGGGGGGCTCAGCCTGGAGAAAAGGAGGCTCAGAGGGTACCTTCTCGCTCTCTGCAACTCCCTGACAGGACAGTGGAGCCAGGTGGGGGTCAGGCTCTGCTTCCAGGGAACAAGGGATGGGACAAGAGGAATGGGAACAAGCCCATACTCCCAGGGAACAGGGAGATGGGACAAGCCTCAAGCTGTGCTAGGGGAGATTTAGGTTGGACTTCAGGAGAAATTCCTTCTTGGAAAGGGTGTTCAGGCATTGGAAGGGGCTGCCCAGGGAGGTGGTGGAGTGCTTATCCCTGAAGGTGTCCAAGGAACAACTCGATGTGGCACTCAGTGCTCTGGGCTGGGTGACAAGGTGGGGATTAGGCTCAGGTTAGACTCGATGGGCTGGGAGGGCTTTTCCAACCTCAGTGATTCTGGGAGTCTGTGGTTCTATATATTATTAATACCCACACTGCAGCACCATTATCATTAAAGGCATCACCTTCAGGACATGGAAGCGTGATATGAC